AATATTTACTTCTTAATCCTACTTTCTCCTCACTGGACTTAACCACCTGATAATTAAACCCTTCTGTTAATTCTCTCGTTATTAATACATTTTATAGCGGCAATAAATAAACAACTCTTTTACAAGTGCCTTATAAAGATAATATAAAAAAGGTACTTGTCTTTTTCTGGCTAAACTTTCGCTGTCTGCCACACAGGATACAGCAGATTATATTCGTCCAATCAGCTTCTTCCTAAAGTTTAAGATCAATGACACAGCAACGGGTCCAGTGTTGGACAAAGACTCACCGAGAAATGTCACGAAATTTGTAAGTACACAAAATTAGCTTCACCAGTTTTCTGCATTTTTTTATAAAATCAATAACGTTCCTCCTCCTACAACTTCTATCCAGATCCCGTTTTTCAAAGACTGTGGTGAAGATGACGTTTGCACAACAGATCTGGTCTTGCAGGCACACATGGACATCTCAGGGACAAGGTAACAACAGATACTTTGCTTTAATTCTCTAGAACCAGTAAAGGTAATAATGCTCTGGGAGTAAAAACTGAGTGAGTCATATTCTCTCACACAGGCAGAAACCTTATGTGATTCGCAGCCCTCGTAGGCGTCTGGCCGTGGAAGTGCAGCTCGAGAACAGGCTGGAAAATGCCTACAACACCAGCCTGAAGCTGCACTACTCACGCAACCTCCACTTCTCTAGTCTCAGCTTCAAAGTAAGCAGCTCTTATGTCCCTAACACATTTTAATCCAATGCCTGAATGTAATAATTTCCATTTTTCTTCTAACAAAGGAGGATACCAGCTTCAAGATCGAGTGTACCGCTCTTGGCTCAAACAGCCACTCATGTAACATCAGCTACCCAGTGTTTCGCTCTCATTCAAAGGTAGCTGATCTTCTCCCTCCCCTTTGCCTATGATGTAGGATGTATCACTTCAGCTGCCTGTTTACCTTTGTGTTTTTAGATAAAATTTTTGTTGGAGTTTGAGTTCAGCTGCACTGTTTTACATAATCGGGTGCAAATGAAGCTCAATGCTACCAGGTAAACATCCAGACTTTTCAAATACCAAAAATAATCTTCAAATACAACAAAACGCACTAATATAATTTTTGTCTTACAGTGAAAGCAGTGAGAGAGAAGAAACTCTGGGGGACAACAGCGTTCAGCTGGTGAATTATGTTCAGTATGAGCCAGATGTTTTTGTAAGCAGGTGTGTGCACAGAATAAAATGAATGTATAATGTATGTCATCAGTATTAATACCCAGCTGTTTAACTTTATGTTGTTTTGTGCAGTGAGTCTAACCTGAACCGCTATGAGGTCCACCCCACACGGGCGGCTTCAGAGGCCATGGGCCCAGAGTTCTACACACACATCAGGGTAAATTGAACTCAAATTTTATGTTTTGGCACAGATCATTTCAGCATCGTATGCAAGTTTATGTCAGACACTGCTTACTCTATAACCATTACTCTATAACCACAGGCAACAGTATTGCCTTGCAGCAAGATGGTCCTGGGTTTGATCAGGGCTGAAGTTTGCATATTCTTCCAATGCATGTCTGAGTTCTCTCAAGCTTCCCATCGTAGTACAAAAACCGGAATGGTAGAACAATTGGTTATTTCTAAATCTAAATGGATAGACAAACTACTTACATTTCAGAAATACTGTTATGTTCTTACTCATGCTTTATAAGTGAACCAGAACCTGCTTTGTAACATTAGATCAGCTTCTTGCAGAATTCAACTTGAATGGTTCTGTCATGTCTTGCCATACACTTCAATGTATTGTTGGGATTTCATGTTAAATACACCACAAACCGTGCCAGAAAAAGAAAACATGTGAAAGTGAGAACTCTGGTCTGAGCTCATATTTGAATAGTTTGGCTTTTATGTATGCTCTTTAAAAGTAACTGCACATGGTGCAAAATGGCCTAATCAGTGAGAAGCTTGATTTTTCATATTTTCACACACACAAAAACTATACTTTCTTTACCCTTTACAATGATGCTCCCCTTTATGTTAAAATATTTCTCAATTCCAGTTCTCAGTCTCAGTTCCAGGTTTATAGAGTGACCCAAACGAAAGTCTTGTTATGGCTTAGAAAATATGCAAATAGAACCAAAAAAAAAGGTGCACCCCTTAGTAATTGGAGTTGTTAGGGTCATTGTTGGCCTGGCTGACCAGGCGAGGTGTTTTGTCCCCTGCATAAGGGGATAATAAATATTTCGGCTGCAAAATGACATTCTAAAGATTTCTTGATTTTTATCACTTCGCTTATTTGATTTATTATTAGAAACAGCAAACATTTGAGTTGAGCAATTAAATAGACAGTTCACTAAAAAATTGTCAGACTCTAAAAACAACCCCACACTGCTTCCCGTGCGCCGCACAATGGAAGCCCACTGCTCCCCAAGGGGATGGGTTAAATGCAGAGTTCATTTCATTGCTCTTTACTTGCGATAGTGACAGTGTAAAATGCTGGGCAAAAATGATTTATCACAAGTGAACAAGTTGAACTAAAACATCTTATTTTGTTTTCGCAGCTGCTTAATATTGGTTGTTACTCTCTAAGTAATCTGGAGCTGCGTGTGCTTCTGCCCTCTGTGGCTGCAGAAGATGTGGTCTTCATGACCGTAACGGAAGTCTTCACATACAACGTGAGTGGGGATAGCGATTTCTTTTTATATTTATGAATTTTGAAAGATGTTAATTTTTTAAGTTGCCTTTCAGGCCACAGGAATAAAGTGCAGCATGCTGAGTGATGTGACCCAGCTAAAATCCAGACAGAGAGACGTCCGTCCCCTTCACCCCGAGGACATGATGCGTGATGAAATACTGGTGAGATCCTTTGTTTTAGAAATCAACATTGAGAAGCTCTAATCAGATGCTAATAGTAGTTGTTTTTCTATGTGCAGAACTGCAGTAGCTCATGGTGCACAGAAGTTGTCTGTGAGGTGAAACAGCTCGGCCAGCAGGCTATTATACGGATCAGCCGCAGAGTTCATGATGACTTTTTCAGAAAAGTGAGTTAACCAACCATCACATATAAGATTAAACTCCTTGAATAATGTAAAGACTGCTCATCCTTCATGCATATCTGCAGGTCAAATATAAGTCTGTGAAGATAATTGGTGCCTACAGACTCTCAGCTCAGGATCCTAACCTCATCACTCTGGGGATAGGAACAGTCCAGGGGGAGGTAAGGCTGCACAGTTTTACAGCAACACAGAAAGGACATATTTGACTTTATTTTTAAGTATTCAGACCACTTAAACCTTTCAGCTTATCATCCTGTCAAACAAACTTTACTGTAATCTGTTGTCCTTTTATCTAATAAAAGTAAAATAAAACAATTAGGTGACCCTGTCAGCTTAATGCGGAAACCAGAAATTGACTTCATTAAACTGGATAGAAAACATCTCTGAATATAACTTTAACTAATTCCATTGATCATCACTTACATATAGGTTTGGGCTTATATGGGTCATTTTAACATGAATACACTTTATTCTAAACTATTCTGTTGTTGCTCTTCTCATTTTAGATTCACCCATTTGCAGCATCTTAGGTTTATTTTACACCTGTTCAGAGCTGCACTAATCTTCCCATACACAATAAAGAGTCCTCAGGTTAATATACAATTGTTACACTTGAGCTGAAAATTTTAGAAGTAGGGATTTCAAGGTACCCATATATTTCTGATGCTTTTATTTCTGTACATCTGTACACTGTCCCTACCACACTCTGTGAGCACCAGATCTCCGCCACTAAAATGTACACCAGGTGTGTCCATTGCAGTTTAAGATGGTATTACACTTGAAAGATGGTATCCTATCATAGACTGTGTTCAGGCAGTCAGTTGTGATTACAATAAAAGTCCAAATCAATGTGTTTATCCACTTTTGTTTCAAGCCGTTTGGCTTCTTCATCCATGAATCTGGTCTTTTGAGGAAGGACAATGTCCAGCCATCAGTTTGCGATCTCAATCCATCTCTAAAGACTTAAAAAAAAAAATGAAAATGACTTTTTTTGTAGTGGCCTAGTCAAAGTTCAGATTAAATCCGATATAGCGATGTTGCATTAAGCAAGCAATTGCTTTAAACCCTGTAATATAACTGAATAAAACTAATTTTGCAAAGACTTGATGTAAGTTGTTACCAACAAGTGCCACAAAACCGTTTTTTTTTTTTCTGATTTAAACATTTGTTCGATAATCTGAAACACACCAATGAGACAAAGAAGCAAATAACACTATATTTTATGACTTTTAAAATCATTTTCCATCTTCAGTAATGTACCACATCCTTAGCATGTGTTCTACAAAACACACCAATTTTAAAATGTTGTTGTAAGGAGAAAAACTGTCAAGCTTGTAATGGGGTTATGGATACTTGTGCGATGCACTGTTATCTCCTCTTATCGTTTCCTCCACATTTTATCTTTCCAGACTGTGTTGGAGGTGCTGAAGGGCCGAGCGATTCCCATTTCACTCTGGATTCTGATCGGCAGCGTCATAGGTGGTTTGCTGCTGCTAGCGCTCATTATATTTATACTGTGGAAGGTAACAGAATACATCTCTAAAAAAATTAAGCACATTTGTTACAGACCATATTAACCTTAGCTGTCTTCTTCTCATTGAAGCTGGGATTCTTCACACATAAACACAGAGAAGATGAAAACCATGAAGACTGAGAGTTTTGATAAAAAGAAGATGACCAGAATAGCAGAACCAGCCTACAAACAGGCAACATGATGATGTTTGATTTCGAATGCTGAAACGGGGATCTCCAGGACCAAAAGACAGATTCACAAGGGTCCAACGGAAATGCACTGCCTGAGATTTCCAGGGTCACAGGGGCAATTGTGTGAATGACCCTTTTTTTATTTTAAGCAAAATATATCAAACTACAGTTATTTTATTTAATTTGCAGAAGTTGTCCATGATTTCATACTTTAAACCGTCTGAACAGATGATTTTTTTTGTACAGAATAAAACACAGCTGAAAAGAGGCAGTATGACCCATTTATTCAGTGCTGATTGATGCAATAAAAACAATGAAAACAATCTTCATTTCAATTCAACAAACACTAAAGAAACAAATCCTAAAATAAGAAACATTTTGTATAAACTGTAACACTCAAATCTTAACTTTTAGCTGTAGAACTGATGTAGGACTCCAAGATAAAGATGGTTTCATCTACTTGATTCTCTGCTGAATCTAACCTGGAAAAACAGAGACGCAGAAACATTAGAGGTTTTGTGGAAAGTTGAAAACCTGAGCTTTAAGTTTTGTCTTCTTACTTGTTTACGTGAAGCCTTAAGACGTCCAGCTGTTGTTTCTCTGGAGCAGAGATCATCTCTTCGACTTCGCTCAGCTGTTCCGGCTCTGCCCCACTGGCCTGCAGAGATGCCAGAATGGCTTCGATTCGTTGAGATTTCTCCAACAGGCGCCTGGAAACCCGACATCAAAGCAGTCAGCCACAAGGAGACAAGAGCTATAACCATAGATATCTATAATAAAGGTCCCCAGCTGCCATCTTGTCACAGGCAGCCTGCTCATTTGTAACGTGTTTTAACGGTGAATGTATTTGGTTTATAACTTCAATTTTCAAGTTTTTTTCCAAAAAGTTTTGTTTGTTATAATTCTTAATATATAAATACACATTCCTGCACGTGCGTTAAAAAAATCTACATGGATATACTGCTTATATAACTTAAGTATATAGACTGCTCAAAAAAATACAGGAAAACATAAAAAAACACAATACAACTTCAATTAAATTAAACTTCTGTAAAAAACTGTCCAGTTAGGAAGAAAGACTGATTGATGATCAATTTCACATTTCCTGTTGTGCAGATCGAATAGACAGCAGGTGGAATTTATTGGCAATTAGAAAGACACACTCAACAGAGGAGTGATTCTGCAGGTGGGGACCACAGACCACTTCTCAGTACCTATGCTTTCTGCATGATGTTTTGGTCACTTTTGAATGTTGGTGGTTCTTTCCTACTCCTGGTAGCAAGGGACAGACTCTTTAACCCACACAAGTGGCTCAGGTAGTGCAGCTCATCCAGGATGGCACATCAATGCGGGCTGTGTATGTGTATTGTTCAGAGACTGAAAGCGCTACCAAGAGACGGCCCAGTACACCAGGAGACATGGAGGAGGATGTAGGAAGGCAACAACCCAGCATCAGGGCCACTACTTCTGCCTTTGTGCAAGGGGGAACAGGAGCAGCACTGCCAGAGCCCTGCAAAATGACCTCCAGCAGTCTACAAATGTGCATGTTTCAGCACAAACGGTCAGAAACCAACTCTCCAAGGATGGTATGAGGGCCTGACGTCCACAGATGGAGGTTTTTTTCACAGCCCAACACCATAAAAGGCACTTGGCATTTGCTAGAGAACACCAGGATTGGCAAATTTGCTGCTGGCGCCCAGTGATCTTCACAGATGAAAGCAGGTAAACACTGACCACATGTGACAGACGTGACAGAGTCTGGAGACACTGTGAAGATTGAGCTACTTCCTGTAGCATCCTTCAACATGACCGGTTTAGCAGTGTGGGGTGGCATTTCTTTGGAAGTCTGTACAGCCCGTCATGAGCTCGCCAGAGATAGCATGACCGTCATTAGGTACCGTAATGAGATCCTCAGACCCCTTGTGAGACCATATGCTGGTGCGATTGGCCCTGAGTTCCTAGACCTCATGTGGCTGGAGTGTGTAAGCAGTCCCTCCAAGATGAAGGGATTAAAGCTATGGACTGAATCCGAATGAGCAAATCTGGGACATCATGTCTCGATCCATCCACCAACGTCACATTGTGCAGATTGTCCAGGAGGTGGCAGATGCTTTAGTCCAGATCTTAAGGGAAGTTCCCCCAGGAGACCATCAGCCACCTCATCAGGAACATGCCCGGGCATTGTAGTGAGGTCATACAGGCATGTGGAGGTCACACACAATTTTGAACCTCATTTTTAACTGTTTTAAGGGTGTTACATCAAAGTTGGATCCGCCTGTGGTGTTTTTCAACTTTAATTTTGTGTGTGACTCCAGATCCAGTCCTCCATTGGTTAATTAATTTGATTCCAATTGCAGATTTTTGTGTTATTTGTCAACATGTTCAACTTTGTACAGAACAAAGTATTCAATAAGAATATTTAATTCATTCAGATACAAAAAAGTTATACACAAAGCACACATATATAATGTAAAAACAAACCGTCATTTTAGATGCAAACAAATGTTTGGTAGCCTAATTAAAATATATATCTACACACATTTATAACATTTTCTCTTCTTTTATCCCTGACATTGTGTGACACCGTGTTCTTCAGGGATCCCTGTCCCAAACTATTTTTGCAAGATTTTGATTTAGACAAAAGATTTGTTCTCATCAAATCATTATTAGTCTCGATAAAACCAACACAACTATAATGCAAGTTTCGGTTGTTTTTCAAAAAGATAATCTATAATTTCAAAAATGTTCAAGCCTTCAGAATTATAGCCACACCAAAGAGGTTTGTAAGAAACCAGTCAGTAAATCTGTCAAGAACGAGACAAGAGTGTTGTGTTCAAGGTAACTCTCTTACTTAAGGTACCACGGAGTCCACCACAAAGCTTACCTATGACAAGAAGCCACCTGTATTATGGATATCTATGGCTTAATCTATAAAAACAAAATAAAAAACAAAAATAACCTACTTGTTTTCTTTGGTCTCAAACAGGCGTCGCTCTATGAGGTTCGCCACGGTCTGCAGAAAAAACATGGCAGGATGGAATTAAAGGCAAAAGCAGTAAAAACAGAAAACTACATATCTTTTATGTATAAATGGCAGTCAAATTTTGAGTGTTCTCTTTCAATGTTAATTTTAAAATTGACTTTTTTTTATTATGACAACAAATGTGGTATTTCTGCAGACAGATCAAATACGGAACATAGAAAACATTGAAAGGAAGCTCTCTGTGTTACAACAGTCCAGGTTAAAGTCTTACCTTGTAGCAGTTCTGCAGCAGCATTCTGGCTGTAGGCAGCTGGTTTACTGTGTAAAGATAAAAGGTGCGAGATGGAGCAAAATCTGGAGTCTTGGGGATTTCCTGAGTGAGAGAAAGTTATTCAGTCAGACCTGATATAGTTTGTCTAAAGAGAAAAAATTTGTGAATAAACGAGTGCATTTGACTCAAGATCATTACAAGATCATAATATCAGCTAATAATACCTTATATCATTTAAACACAAAAGATTTGTTACATTTCATTTTTTGTTACAAACTATCATCTTTTTAACCTCTCTTGCTATAAAACATTGAATTAATGGATTTCAGCACATAATTGCATTTAATCAGATTTTTGTGTTAAGTGATAAGTTAAAGTAGGAATAATCTAGGGCTGAAACAATTAATCGGATTAATCGATTATTGAAATAATCAACTAAACTAGTAATCCACTAATCATTAACTGAAGTGTAGAGACTCTTGTCTTTAGCTAACAGAGCAACCCACCTTGAGCAGAAATTATACCAAAATTGTAAAAAATAATAAACTCTATATTTTGCATTTAAGAAGAAAAACTTTTCCGTCTGTCAATATGATCTATCCAGAACTCCTAAATTGGAAAAGTTTTAGTTTCACATGGTTTAATTTCATTTAAAAAATTCTCTATGGAACCTGGCTGCCTGAATATTAATCAATTCATTGGAAAAATAGTCCACAGATTAATAAATTACAAAATGATTGTAAGTTGCAGCCCTAGAATAATTAAATTCAGCCTTTTTGAACTGAAATTTGAGTAATAGTTCTTGTTGAAACTGAATTCATGCATCAAAGGTAGGACCTGTTCACTTCCTGTTTGGATTAACTGAGTGTGCAGCTGTTCAGAGGATCTCCATCTGAAGTTAAGTTATTTTCTCTGTGATATCTCTGTATCTAAGTAACTCTAACTGACTACTTTAAAACATAGCACCTTCTGCTGCACTTTTCTACTGAGCACTTGTCAGTTTCACACGGTTTTATTTCTGATAGCAAGGAGTAGCTAGCCTAGGCTAGCGCTAGCTTAGCATTGCTATGGCTTCTCTCTCTCCCTCCCTTGACTCTTTTCCAACTCTTCCTTCTTCCTCTCCTCTCTCCTGCTCTCTGTGTCAGATGTTCAGTTATTCCTCTGCCTCCTTTAGTGATAATGGGATGTGTAATAAGTGTAGTATTTTTGTAGCTTTGGAGGCGAGGGTGTCAGAGTTAGAATCCAGGCTTCAGGCTGTTGAACATCCAGGAGTTAAAGTAGGCCCCCCACGTAGCTGTCCTCCAAAAGTGCCTGAGCAGCCAGGCGATTGGGTAACTGTACGCAGAAAGCGTAGTCGTGGATCTCTGCCCACTAGTCACCACCAACCCGTTCACGTTTCTAACCGGTTTTCCCCACTCAGTGACACACCCACTGAGAAGCCCACTCTGGTGATTGGCAGCTCCATAGTCAGAAACGTGGCATTAGAGACACCAGGGACCATAGTCAAATGTTTGCCGGGGGCCAGAACGGGCGACATCAAATCCTACCTGAAACTACTGGCTAAGGATAAGGTTAAATACAGTAAGATTGTTATTCACGCTGGTGGTAATGACACCCGGTTACGCCGATCGGAGGTCACTAAAATTAGTGTTGCTTCGGTGTGTAAGTTTGCCAAAAAAATGTCGGACTCCGTAATTTTCTCTGGTCCCCTCCCTGATCTGACCAGTGATGACATGTTTAGCCGCATGTCGTCATTCAACCGCTGGTTGTCTAGGTGGTGTCCTGAAAACAACGTGGGCTACATTAATAATTGGCAATCCTTTTGGGGAAAGCCTGGTCTGATTCGGAGAGACGGCATCCATCCCACTTTGGATGGTGCAGCTCTTCTTTCTAGGAATCTGGCCACATTTATTAGTCCTCCAAAACCCTGACCACCCAGGGTGCAGACCAGGAAGCAGAGTTGTAGTTTAACACACATCTCTGCAGCTTCTCTACTGTTACCCACTCTTTACTCCATCCAGACAGTGTCTTGCCCACGACCAAAATCTAATAAATTAGCAAAGATTCCCAAAGGAGTAAATCATGATAATCTAATTAAAATCAAAATAACTCCAATTGGGGAAAAAGTTAAAACAATTAAATGCGGTCTGTTTAACATAAGATCGCTTTCCTCTAAAAGTCTACTAGTTAATGACTTGATTTGTGATAATCACATTGACTTGTTTTGCCTTACAGAAACCTGGCTGCAGCAAGAGGATTATGTGAGCATAAATGAGGCAACTCCTTCAAGCTATTTAAATTTTCACATCCCCAGAAGTTCTGGGCGAGGAGGAGGAGTAGCAACAATCTTCCAGTCTGACTTACTGATTACTCCCAAAACAATTAATACCTACAACTCTTTTGAACATTTAACCCTTAATTTCCCTGATCCAAATTTCAAGGCAAGAAAACCTTTTCTTTTTGTAACTTTGTATCGTCCACCAGGTCCTTACTCTGAATTTTTAGATGAGTTTTCAGAGTTCCTTTCTGATTTGGTATTAAATACTGACAGGGTCATCATAGTGGGAGATTTTAACATCCATGCTGACATTGAAGGCGATAGCTTAAGAGCAGCCTTTAATGCTATCTTAGACACTGTTGGCTTTGTTCAAAATGTGAATAGTCCCACGCATTCTCATCTTCATACTTTGGATCTTGTGCTGACATATGGCATAGAATGTGAAGAAATAACAGTATTTCCTCACAACCCTGTCCTCTCTGACCACTTTCTAATAACCTTCAGGATTACTTTAACAGAGTTCTCCTCCCCCAAAAGAAGGTTCAATTTTAGTAGATCTTTATCAGATAGTGCAGTTAAAAATTTTAAAGAATCTGCTTCACTTTCTCTCTCCTCTGTGTCACTGAGCAGTGCTGCAGAGTGCAAAAGCTTAGCTTATTCCCCTTCACAGGTTGATGATTTTGTTGATGGGGTTGCTAGTTCTCTGCGTATTGCCTTAGACAACGCAGCTCCTTTGAAAATGAAAACCGTTAAAAATAGAAAGCTTGCTCCTTGGTTTAATGCAGAGCTGCGTACTTTGAAGCAAAATGCTAGGAAACTGGAGAGAAAATATCGCTCCACAGGCCTGCGAGAGTCCTTCCTAGTCTGGAAAAATGGTTTACTGCTGTATAAGAGGACCCTTTGTAAAGCAAGAGCAGCATACTTCTCCTCATTAATAGAGGAGAATAAGAATAATCCTAGATTTCTTTTTAATACAGTTGCCAAACTCACCCAGAGCCATAGCTCTGTTGAACCGTCCATTCCACCTGCTCTTAGCAGCAATGATTTTATGGGATTCTTTATAAATAAGATTGATCTTATTAAAAATAAGATCATAAGCACTCCTCTATCCGCGATTGTACCTGAGGTAGTCATGGAATCTGAACCGGGTTTAGACTGCTTTGATCCAGTTGAACTCTCTGAATTAGCAAAATTATTGTCTTCATCTAAGCCTTCAACTTGTATGTTAGATCCAGTTCCAACCAGGTTATTTAAGGAGGTATTCCCTTTGATCTCCTCCTCCATTTTAGATGTGATTAATCTATCTCTGTTACAGGGATACAGTGGTGTGAAAAAGTGTTTGCCCCCTTCCTCATTTCCTGTTTTTTTGCGTGTTTGTCACACTTAAGTGTTTCGGAACATCAAACCAATTTAAACAATAGTCAAGGAAAACACAAGTAAACACAAAATGCAATTTGTAAATGAAGGTGTTTATTATTAAAGGAGAAAAAAAATCCAAACCATCATGGCCCTGTGTGAAAAAGTGATTGCCCCCTTGTTAAAATATACTATAACTGTGGTTTTTAACACCTGAGTTCAATTTCTCTAGCCACACCCAGGCCTGATTATTGCCACACCTATTTTTAATCAAGAAATCACTTAAATAGGAGCTGCCTGACACAGTAAAGTCCACCAAAAGATCCATAAAAGCTACCCATCATGCCGAGATCCAAAGAAATTCAGGAGCAATTGAGGAAGAAAGTAATTAACATCTATCAGTCTGGAAAAGGTTATAAAGCCATTTCCAAAGCTTTGGGAATCCAGCGAACCACAGTGAGAGCCATTATCCAAAAATGGCGACGACATGGAACAGTGGTGAACCTTCCCAGGAGTGGCCGGCCGCCCAAAATTACCCCAAGAGCGCAGCGACGACTCATCCAAGGGGTCACAAAAGACCCCACAACAACATCCAAAGAACTGCAGGCCTCACTTGCCTCAGTTAAGGTCAGTGTTCATGCTTCCACCATCAGAAAAAGACTGGGCAAAAATGGCCTGCATGGCAGAGTTCCAAGAAGAAAACCACTGCTGAGCAAAAAGAACATTAAAGCTCGTCTCAATTTTTCCAAAACACATCTTGATGATCCCCAAGACTTTTGGGAAAACATTCTGTGGACTGATGAGACAAAAGTGGAACTCTTTGGAAGGTGTGTGTCCCATTACATCTGGCGCAAAAGGAACACTGCATTTCAGAAAAAGAACACTATACCAACAGTAAAATATGGTGGTGGAAGCGTGATGGTCTGGGGCTGTTTTGCTGCGTCAGGACCTGGAAGACTAGCTGTGATAAATGGAACTATGAATTCTGCTGTCTACCAAAAGATCCTGAAGGAGAATGTCCGACCATCTGTTTGTGAACTCAAGCTGAAACGAACTTGGGTTCTGCAGCAGGACAATGATCCTAAACACACCAGCAAGTCCACCACTGAATGGCTGAAGAAAAACAAAATAAAGACTTTGGAGTGGCCTAGCCAAAGTCCTGACTTGAATCCTATTGAGTTGTTGTGGTATGACCTTAAAAAGGCTGTTCATGCTTGAAAACCCTCTAATGTAACTGAATTAGAACAATTCTGCAAAGATGAGTGGGCCAAAATTCCTCCAGAACGCTGTAAAAGACTCATTGCAAGTTATCGCAAACGCTTGGTTGCAGTTGTTGCTGCTAAGGGTGGCCCAACAAGTTATTAGGTTTAGGGGGCAATCACTTTTTCACACAGGGCCATGATGGTTTGGATTTTTTTCTCCTTTAATAATAAACACCTTCATTTACAAATTGCATTTTGTGTTTACTTGTGTTGTTCTTGACTATTGTTTAAATTGGTTTGATGTTCCGAAACACTTAAGTGTGACAAACGTGCAAAAAAACAGGAAATGAGGAAGGGGGCAAACATTTTTTCCCACCACTGTATGTACCTAAAGCTTTTAAGGTTGCTGTAATTAAACCTCTGCTTAAGAAACCGTCTCTTGACCCAGATGACCTGGTCAATTATAGACCTATATCCAATCTTCCTTTCTTATCCAAAATTCTTGAGAAAGTAGTTGCCAAACAAGTTTGCGATCACTTCCACCATAATGAACTTTTTGAAGAGTTTCAGTCTGGCTTTAGAGCTCATCATAGCACTGAAACAGCTCTGGTGAAAGTCACTAATGATATTCTCATGGCCTCAGATAATGGACTTGTATCTGTGCTCGTCCTGTTGGATCTTAGTGCTGCATTTGATACAGTTGACCATAATATTCTTTTAGAAAGACTTGAATATTTTGTTGGAATTAAAGGAACAGCACTAGACTGGTTTAAATCTTATCTATCTGATCGAATTCAGTTTGTTCATGTTAATGATAGATCTTCAACACGCTCAAAGGTTACCTGTGGAGTACCACAGGGATCAGTGCTAGGACCAATTCTCTTTACTTTATACATGCTCCCAATTGGTAGAATTATTAGACAGCATGGGATTAATTTCCACTGTTATGCTGATGATACCCAGCTATATCTGTCTATAAATCCAGATGAAGCTAACCCATTACATAGATTACAGGCATGTCTTGAAGACATAAAAACCTGGATGACTCTTAACTTTCTGCTTCTGAATGCAGATAAAACAGAAGTTATAGTCTTTGGACCAGAGTCTCTGAAAAAGAAACTGATTAGCCAGTCACTTCATTTGGATGGGATTAAACTGATTTCAGATAATAAAGTAAAAAATCTTGGTGTTATTTTTGATCAGGACCTGTCATTTAAATCCCATATCAAAGAGGTTTCTAGAATTTCCTTCTTTCATCTGAGGAACATTGCAAAAATTAGAAATATCCTGTCCAGGGGTGATGCTGAAAAACTAGTCCATGCATTTGTTACTTCAAGGCTGGACTATTGTAATTCTTTACTATCAGGAAGTCCACAAACTGTAGTTAAAAGCCTTCAGCTGATCCAAAATGCTGCAGCCAGAGTTCTAATGAAAATTAAAAAGAGAGATCATATCTCGCCTATCCTGGCTTCTCTTCATTGGCTTCCTGTTAAATCAAGAATAGAATTTAAAATCCTCCTTCTCACATATAAAGCCTTAAATGGCCAAGCACCATCTTATATCAGAGATCTGATTGTTCCTTATTTTCCTAACAGAGCACTTCGCTCTCAATCTGCAGGTTTACTAGTGGTTCCTAGAATTTCTAAAAGTAGAATGGGAGGCAGATCTTTTAGTTATCAGGCTCCTCTCCTGTGGAACCAACTACCAGTTTTAGTCCGTGAGGCAGACACCCTGTCTACTTTTAAGGCTAGGCTTAAAACTTTCCTTTTTGATAAAGCTTATAGTTAGGGTGGCTCAGGTTATCCTGAGCTATCTCTATAGTTATGCTGCTATAGGCTTAGACTTTTGGAGGACATAGGGACCCCCATTTCATCATTCTGCTTCATTCTCTCTCTGTTCTCCTATTCTGCAGAATCTGTTAGTTCAATCTCTAACCTTCTGCTCTCTCTGCTTTTCCTCAGAGTAGCTTTGCCTCGTCTGTTCCTGTTTGGTTTTGACGTCATCCTGGAAAGAAACATCAGCTGTGCTGCTTCCATCAACACCCTTGTTTATAGATGTTGGAGATCGGCCTGTTTTCCAGTGTGGTCCTGTTTCTCTGGCCGTGACTGAGTGGATGTGCTCTCTTCGTCCTCTGGCATGGGAGCTGCCTTGGAGCTCGTCTGCCTGGCTGTGTGTTTCCTGGACGGGGCCGCCTTTTACAGCTGCTTTTTGTATCTCTGCTTCTGTCTCCTTGAACCCCAGTGGGCCTCGGCAGATGGCCGCTCACACTGAGCCTGGTTCTGCTGGAGGTTTCTTCCTGTTAAAAGGGAGTTTTTCCTCTCCACTGTCGCTACAAGCATGCTTAGTGTGGGGGATTGTATTTGAGTCAATGAGTCAATGCAATCAACTGGTTTTCCTTAGATAGAAAACTTTGTATCAATTTGACTGTATGATCTGGTTGAACTGTAAAGTGCCTTGAGATGACATGTGTTGTGAATTTGGCGCTATATAAATAAACTGAATTGAAATTGAATTAAAGCTCCATTTCACTGCTCACTAACTGCTATTAGTATTTAAGCTTGTCAAATTATCATGCTGAAGTATTTGTACGACTGATAGTTCATGTAGTATGGATTCAGACCCTGCCTGCCGGGAACGTATTTGGCAAACTGGATGGACTTTTATTTATTTTATTTCTGCCAGGATCTGAGCAAAGAAAAAGATATAGCTCAGGAAAGTGGTGGGGACAAAATAATATAAAGGCAAAAAATTAAAAAACAGAGCACAGAAAATGTGGGTTTATCCCATAGTGGCATCAAAGCAATACATAACAATACCAATGTTTGATTTTGTTTGAATAAAATAACCCTTTTTGCATCTCAACCTGACTCAGTTTTAGATCCAATTTAAATTTCCAACCTAAAATTGTCCAAAATTCTTTGAAGCTTTTCTGTCTCTCTCTCTAATAAGTGTTCCTGTACCTGTTGATGCTTTCAGTAAATTTAACAGCAGAATAGCCAAAAAAAATTAAATAACGGCCATAAATTTGCATAAACATTTTGCAGATATTCTAATATTTATTTTTTATTAACGGCGGTCATAGATAAATGTTTTTAATCTAGATTAATCTCATTGTAATTTTGGAATTAATCTAGATTAAAATCGCTCATTTGAATTCTGCCAAAGGCAGCCATCATATGTGTGTGCAACCTCCAGAATTTAAAAGAAGAGGTTCACTTTTTATCTTTGCAAAACCACACGTAATTTCGTCTTCTGACTTAAGATTTTGAAAAAGTTATAAATATTTTTTTTCCCCTCATATTTACTGTGTTTTTTGCTGCAAAAAATAGTGTCCCACTTTAACAAGATAGTGTCTCCAAAGATCTGACACACACATCGCATTGATCAACTTCTCATCTTTCGCAGCTTTCTCTGTGGCGTGCTGGTCATGTATTCTCCTTGTGATAGTTCGCCTCGCAGGTAGTTTGTAAGATGGGTCACCTGTGGCTGCATGGAGAGTGAGCTCGAGGCCATCAGCCATGCTGATTGGCTATTCACTGAGCAAGGAGATTGGTTAGCTTGGCTAATAGAGCTGTGTTTATAGCTGCATCCATATCAGCATGTGAGGTTGGATGTAGTAATTTCACAGTGCGCCTTCAGAGGTTGGAAGACTGATTCGTTCTCACCCCCAGATATACAGCTGCACTAAACCACCACGATGAAAGTCATCATTAGTATAGCCCCAGCTCCCAACCCAACTGTGAGAATAGATTAATGGCGATATTTTTTCTATGGCCCGATAAGAATCTGCCGTTAAGGCAGCAATTGACGCTGATAATGGCCCATCACTATTTTTTTATACATTTGAATGATAAGGAATCTCTAATAATTTTAAGCTCTTTCTATTTTTTTCTATTTTTCTAATTAGACTGGAAAATGTTTAAAGCCAAATTTCCAAACAATATGAGACTTTTAAAAGTTTTCTGTGTAAACAAACAGATCTGCAAGGTGTGTTCCTCACAGACCAGTGTGGCAGTACAAAGTTTAATGATAACTGATGAATCCAAAGATGTTATAGTTAACCTGCAGCTGGACCAGGTTGTGAGACAGCAGGTTGTAGAGCATGTCTTTAGCCTCCTTTGCTGGAATCATGGCAAAATCCTCCACTTGCTTCTGCTCCAGGTGTCGCTTTCGCAGCAACAACCGGAAGATACGAGCCGATCGGGAACCAAATCTGATCAGCAGATGAAAACAGGAACTACATGACAAATTCAGTTACAGTGAAAGTCACATGTGTAATAATTAAAAAAACAAACAGACTCACTTCTCCTGCACAATGGACTCAACAGTGGCTCGAGCCAGGTTTGCGAGCGCTCTGTGCAGATCTAACAGATGCGTTCAGGATTGTAGTTGATCTTTTAGATTCATTAACCTGTCTGGAAAACATGGCATTCTGGCTGAAAAGTACCAAAGGATACTAACAACAAACATTCCTCCGCCACTTTCTCCGGCTCTTCCAACAAACTCCATCTAGAAAATAATGATGATGAAAAATGAGCTTTTATGTGGATATAAATAAAAATAAATAAATCATCCTGCAGGGAGTGTGTCTGGAGGAAGACGTACCGGGTCATCCACCAGCAGAGTCAAATACTGATCTAAAATCGGTCTTTGGATGTTGTAGCTGGCTGGGAGGGACCTGAAGATCTCATTGGCTGAGAGGGACTTTGTGCAGGAGGCTGTGGGAGAAGTCGTCACCTCACTCATCCTCAGGATAGTCCGTACTATTTCACTGCTGGTCTAAAAGGTTCAAATATTACAGTTACAGGCAACTTTGTTTCCTTAAATAACTTAGTAACAGCTGCTTTTAGCCTGAATGTATATGATTTGTTATACATAAAAAACAATATTAAAGAATTATTTAATGTGAGGATGACCAGATGTCCCAATTAGTCCTGCATTTTTCACTTCTGCCCCCCTTTCCCACAAACCAAAGCAGTATCTGGCTTTTGCCTAGGTCATCTGATATATATTTAAAATAAAATGGTAAAATAGCCCTAAATAAGGACTATTTTACTAGTCCTATTTATCCGTCATCTCTTTAAGCTTAACAGGTAAAGATATGATGGAAACAATGGAAAAAGAAAATAAAATGCAGCCATAACAAAGACTGTGGAATGGTTTATAACTGCGTGAGATAGTGAAAGGTGATTCTCAGGGAGCTTTTGGTGAAGTTTGCAAAAGTTGTTTTTCAATTCGATCCAAGGGGAGCGATATGTAAACAACACTATAAAAGTAATTCACAAAAGAAACACAAAGCTGAAAAAACCTTGTCTGTCCCATATTGTCCCTCGTAAGCATCCTACACTGCAAAAAATAGAAATCTGGATAACAACTTTTTTTTATAAAATAATTGCATTTGTTCTTGAATTGACGAGATAAGTCAGACACTTTGCCAATGGAACAAGACAATTCACATTTAAAATAAGAAAAAAAAAAACAATATCATAATATCTAATTATCTTATTTAAGAGTAAAAATATTCAGCACATTGGCAAATCATCTTATTTACCTACTCAAATTAAGGGTAAATAAATTTAATTTAAAGACATTCTTACTTATTTCTAGGTCGTTTTTGCAGTGTAACTGTGCCACATTAGTCTTTTTTTTTTTTTTTTTTTTTAGATCTGGTCACCCTATTTAATGTTAACTTATTCACTGCAAATCAAATAAAAAGTTAACTTTTATGAGCAAGGTGTTGTTACTCTTTTAAAAAATATATATTTCAAGATACTAATAAATAAACCTGAAGTAAGAATACTAGTTTAGTAGTAGAGTGCACAAGTTGAGCATACAGACTATAAACTATAACATTTGCTGAAAGAACAACTAACTTGGAGCAGTAATTTTGCCAAAACAATTCAACGTTTATATATATAGTACTGATCAAAATCTTAAGACAGTGAAAAAAATTGTATGAATTTGCATTTTGTACAAGAAGGCGAAACAAGAGAACAACAGTTGTGATCAGGCAATTTGTAAAAAAACAAAAAACAAATTGACTCAAATAGGCTGTTCATCAAAACTAAGACGACAGTAATTAAAAGCCAAAATCTGTGCAGATGTTTGGATTCTTTTTTTTTTTCTGTCAGGTAATCACACTGAACATCTCTAGATGGCAAAAACAAAAAACTCACCCTTTTTGAATGTGGTAGGATTGTTAAGCGGCATTAACTAAGCTTCTCACAAGGTTGAAAACAGTCACTTTAAAATTCTTAAACGATCCTCAGGGTTATGAAACTAAATATTAAGTGGGAGACCCAAAAAAAACTTCACTCCATGACTAAAAGCGCTCATTGAAAATGTGCATCTGTGTGTATACATTGTGATCACAGGTCAGGTTGCACTCTATTACTTATTGGTCCAGGCAGGGTTCTAAATGGGAATAATTGTGGATAAACAAGTTGATTTTCAGTTCTGATCTCTGTGTTTTACATGAGCGGCTTGATAGTTTGAAAAACAGACTCTTGCAGGACTCAGACAGAGTCTGCGATCCGCTTATAATGAAGAGAGAATATTCTAGGATGTTGTTGTGGAATAATGCTTCCTCAGTTGGCCTTCTAGGGGGCCCACCGCACACAGCAGGATATCAGGTCAAGATGATTCCAACATGATGGATTTCCCTGATTTGCATTCAGAGAAATTAAAACATTTGACCGATTTTTTAATCTTTTACCTGATCCAGCTTATTGGCCACAGCACTGATGATCGCCTGGTCTCTAAAGTGTTGATGGAACCGCTCAAAGTTCACCTGCCAGTAAATCCCTTCATCACCATGTGTCTGAGCAATGGTGATGAAAAAATAAAAAGTCAATCACATTATAAAGGACCTGAACATAAGTAAAGTTAGAGATTTCCAATAAAACCAAACAATCGCTGACCGTTGAGTCCATCTTGGCCCTTTTTGCATTCCTTTGATCCTCTCCTTCCTCAGGGACGAGCTGTCGTTTGCCCCGTCCAATGAGCGTAACCTGGGGTACAATGTAGCAGTTGGGAAAGCTCTCTGGATTTGGCAGTGCGGTGCTGACAGCGGCTGCAGGAGCTGCAGGGGTGGCAGGATCCTCAGCTTGAGCAGTGCTGCCTGTAATTCCTGCTCCCCCCATAGGAGGGCAGCGCTGGAGGAAATGTGTTTCCACTAGTTTGGAAAAGGTGGAAGACACTTCACTATAATCCAAGCTTTGGCCTTCTATAATAGCAAAGGAGACGAAAGATTACATTAATGTATTAAATAAATAAAAAACTTTAATATATCCAAAAACAAGAACAGCAGCTAAACATCCCTCTATGTACAATAAAACTGACCCTCCATGTTCTGTGTGATTCGATCTGCAACCGTCTTCACTGTGTTGCTCATAGTCATGTGGCCTCGCTGCAGCAGCTCCTCTATGATCAGCTCGCCTGTGTCGCCGTACAGCGTTTTGGCTGTGTAGATGTAACGCGGGTAGCGCAGAATTCTCAGGACTCGATCACAGCAGGCCCGATACTCTGTGGGGCTGCCGGGTCCTTTACGGCCAGCGGTGATTAAACAAGCCCCGTGCTGCACAAGCACGCACAGACATTTCTTCACCTTTATTAAGGAAGACAAAAAGAAATGTTAAAATACACCCATTGTCCTTGATCTTTTTTTACACATTAATAGGCTACACTGCAAAAATGCACTTTTTTGTTTATATATTGGTCAACATTTATCTGTTATCATAAGGGAAAAGAATAGATAAATAAATCCTTAAAATAAAAAAGTATCTGAAATACAGCAGTAAAATTAATTGGCTGCAAAATGTGAAAACTGATCCATTATCTTAAGCAGAAAAATGATAGATGGCTGTACCATATCCACAGAGAGGTTGGTTTCATGAACGATGGTCCTTAAGTTTTGTGCTCCACTTCGGAGCAGGTGAGTTCCCACCTTCTCCACCACCTCCCCGAAATGCTCCCTCAGTAGGAGGCCACACAGTCGGATCTCCTGGGCCGTCATCTGCATGGTGGTAAATATTTGTTGTTTCAATGTTTTCAAAATATCAAATCCCAAAGATCATTACAGCATCCATCAGTGTAATAATTTAAATGCAAAAAACTGCTTGGAAACAAATACGAAAAAAGATGCTCTAGTCATATAAGATGATCCACCCTTTTGTCCTATAGATAATTGCTATGTGTGGTGTTAAACGCACCAACCTCCCTAAAACCTCTACCCTCGTTGTTACACATGGCAGTGGCAAAATCAAGACGTGGTAAAAAAAGTTAATGTCAAGGTTATTAGAAGATATAAATCGGAACATTCAAGAACAAAACCTGTTTAATGCAGCAAATGAATTAAGACTGGAAAGGAAATTCACCGTCCAGGAGAACAAAGACCCCAAATATAAAAGCTATGAGAACTGGGTTTGGATCAAAGTATATTCATGGTGCAAAGTCCAGACCAAAATTAGCTTATAAATCTGTTGCAAGATCTTACAAATTGATGTAAAATCTGATCAAGATTCAGCCATTTTGCAAAGGAAAACACTCTAGAAGGGAACATCTTGTAGAAATGTGTACATTCAATTTGCTTATTTCAGGGGACTGCCTGGTCAGTAAAAGATGCTTTCTAATTATAGAAACTACCATGCATTCAGACCTCTGACTATCACACTGTGTCACAGTGGATTGTTTCTGAAGCAGTGTAAAACTGATTTATTTTAAGAATAAAGCAGATTAAATGAAAACACCCTTGATAATCCACCACAAACCTTATCCTGAAGGTATATACTGTTTCTCAAGACTTACAGCACTGACTGTAGGGAATAAGGTTTTCTTTATTTTTTTAAAGACGCTGAAAAAATATAGCAACTAATGAAAGGCGATGCAATGGAAACTATTTCTTATGGCACTTGGTTTGTGTACAGTAAAAAGAGGCAGGATGTATGATGAATACTTCAACTACCATCAACATTATGTGACTTTACACTCCAGAAAAGTTACCTAGAATAGAAGGTTACACAGAGGACACTAATGCTGCGTTCACACCGGACGCAGCTGGCGCGACAGAAGCAGCGAGTTTACATGCAAAGTCAATGGTTGACGCGCGTCAAGGCGAAGCAAAAAGTCCCGCGGCGCGTTTTGAGCACCAGGCGCAGCGCGTCTGAGCAGCTGAAGCAGCGCGTCGGGCGCGTTTTGGCATCTGACGCGCGTGACGCGCCGCAAACGCGTTGCTGCTCGAGATGGAAAAATTGAATTTTTGCTGCTCGACGCGCCGCGTCAACCAATCAGAGAAGCTGATCTGGGAGCTGGCAGGGAGAGAGACACAGCGCTGATGACACAGACCGCTCTGATTACTCCTCTTAAACAGTTTATTAACGCATAATTAACTTAAAATATATACATCTGCCGGCAGAATATGTTCGCTTTTATTATCCTGATGCCTGCAGATCGGATTATTTAGATGAAAAACACCTACCAGCCGCCGCGGTAAACCGTGAAGAGGCGACCCAGCCAGAGGCTGCTGATGAACGGCTTCCTTCTGTCGGAGCACCGCCGGTATGTGGGGGTCTGAGCGGCTCCGACAGAAATAATATTGGGAGGCAGGATTGTAATCTGGATGAACTGACTCCACTGATGAAGTTTTCAGGTGTATTTTCTCACTTAAAAACATATTAAAACTACTTTATTCCCACTGATCACAGCAAATATAGCTACAAGGCAGAGAAAGGATAGTGAAGCTCCGCCCAACGCGCGTCAGACCCACTTTTGGACCGCGCAGCGAGAGCAGCAAAGCTGCATCAGACGCGCGTCAGAATTCACTGGTACAAGCAGCAAAAATGAAGCAGCAGACGCGATTTTGCTGCTTTTGCTGCCCCCGGTGTGAACGTAGCATAATAATGTGAGCCTTTTTGTCAACTATAGCTGTTAAAAGACTAAAACTTTAAAATCTGCCACTTCTCCTGCATCAAGCTCGGTGAGTTAAACATAAACATTAACTTAAACACATCAGGTCCGAAAAGATAAAAGCTAGCTAGCCTTTAAACAGGATACATTTACCATTTTATCAGTGCTAACCAACCTTGTATACAAATAACTGACAGCAGAAGAGAGAAGTTTGCTGCTATGCTTCCCAGAGACCGCTGACTCTCCTCACATGCGGTTCGTAGATCACAACACAGAAACACTTCCGCCCTCCGCTTCTCCTGGTTGGTGACTCCCTGTGGTGGCGCGCCGCCTGTCGGACTGGATGTATATGGCATATGGCAAGTAAAATTATCACATAATGAAGATGCGGTGAACCATGCAATGTTTCAGTCAAAGTTTAATGAACGCGTTTTTAAACGTTCGTGTTAGAACCCCCGGTAGTTTTACGTGACAAATTTTTAATGGTAGTGATGAATTAATTTTATTATACAATGTGCCATGTCTATAAACAATTGACGGCTTATTGGTTTACACGTTTAAAATAATTTGATACGGTTCATATAAAAAATGTTTTTTTTTTTCTCAAGTAGCAACGTCGTTTCCACTATTAAAGTATTTATATGTTTGGATATTTATTAGAAAATTTAAGGCTGTCTTTAGGAAGTCTAAATATAAAAGTGGTTTGATTATATGCTACAATTGGCTGCCATACCTGTGGACAGCCGTCTTCGGCTGGTGGAGGATCGACGTCACTGTTTGTGCTTCTTTGGGGAAGATGGCGGAGGCTGCGGCTGTTCCCCCGCATCGGTTTTTCTGTCACTGTTGTAAGGGAGAAGTAAACCCTAAACTCCCAGTAAGTAAGGCGACTTTCGTTCATACTGTGTTATTTTGTAGAATACCGCGAACTGACAGCGCTGTCTTTCGGCGACTAGTTTAGTCTCTCGGCGGCTTGCTAAAGCTAAACCCAGCTAGCCTGTTAGTGCCTGTTAGCTCCGTCCGTTTGTTGTTGTTGTAAAGTCATGAAATAAACTCTCGGTAATGCTTGTAAAGCCGACTCTAAAAGCCGACACTGTCTAGTTATGTTATGTTTAAACCTCCATCACGATTCTACCCAAAAATACTCTTTGATTGAAGATTTACTTTGATAGTTGAGATATGTTATATGCAGGGGTCAATTTGTACTAACCAAGATCAAGGGTAGTCATAGTATTTGATTATTCTCATTAATCATGTATTTATCATTAGCTGACAGACATTGGACAGCTGCTGTTTCTGATTAAATTTATTGTTGTCAAGACGAGTTGGGGAATTTTCTAGAGTGGTTGGTTTCAGTTTTGTTATCAAAAGTAGTAGACATTTCTCACACTTTGGTCAGCTTGGCACTGCTTATGTTTTAAGGGTTATATCTATTCATTTTCTTGATACTAATCCGACTTAATACGGCTTCAATGCTCTTTAAACTATCCGAATTATTATATTTTATTTATCTGTAGATTTTTCGTATGGTCTCATGGATAATTTTAGATTTTACTCAAAGTAAAGATGTGAATTTATAAGTTGGTCTAAGAAACAAGGTCAGACATTTCATGTTATTACATATTTGATTTAAGAAATACATTGTTCTTTTTCCTGGTTGGACAGAAAAAAAAAAAAAAAACTTGCCCCAAATGTGAAAATGCTCACCTGAATAGTCTTTGAGAAGGAATAACATGGTGGAAAACTAACCTTCAACAGCATTATTCTTGCATTTGTTCCCTGAGTTGTTATTTCTGTCATACTGGGGAAAGAGCAGATAACACTCCATTTATGAGACAGGATTCATTGTAGAAAGAATTGTCCTATTGTTTCAACAATGCCACCTCGTTAAATACAGAGTTTTCACTATTGCCTGGTCTGTCAGATTTTTAAAAAGCTGTTAACCTTTCCAAATCCAAAGTCTTCCTTAACAGACAGAGATTGAAAGCTCAAAAACAGCTGTTATACATTAACTGTATTACAGTAATGCTGAGATTTAGCCTTTCTATTATCTGATCAACTCTTGCTCTCTGTTGTCGCTGTCTGAATGAGTAGCTGGCATGCCTTTGTGGAGAATCTGATCTTCTCTAACATTGCCTCTTACACCTTTCTTATTTCCCAGAGTTGACTAAAGAGCCAACTTTGACTCATCTTCCAAACAGGAAGTGGTTCTAACAGATCTTTTGACTCTTAAAACTGATTTTTTTTTTTTTTTCTGGCCCCTCGGTTAAGCTAAAAATCATACTGCCGATAGCCTGTTTCCTGGTGCATTTGGTTATCTTTTAGCTCCGTTCGACAACTACCAAAATTGTTGGGTAAAATCTTAACCACTTTTTTTCTATAACTGGCCTCCTATGTTATTATGTCAATATTTTATTTCAGAGCAATGTGTACTTAATGTTTGACCAACTGTTTTCTGAGTTGTTGTGTTTTTGTTTTTTTTTTTATTTTAGAGTTTTATTTCTATTTTATTAGTATTAGACTTGGAGAAAGTGGAGGTTTTGATTCATTTTAAGTAAAAGTTGATAACCTTAAGTCTATTTGAACCTTAATAAATCTATTATTTACATTTTTATCCATCTGCCCTGTCACTGACTTGAAAAGGGTTTGCGGCTCTAAAGATAATTTAGTCCTAATGACATGTCAATGAGCTGCATGACTTCAACACCCAAGCATTCTCAGTGTTTCCCCAGTATGATTTTTCATTTATCTAGGTTCGTGTGCATTTTCTGAAACAGAAAGGATAAACTTGGAAAATGACAGTGGATTGACGCAATCTGTTACTGCTTAGAGTTCCGTTTTTGAGCTGGTTTAGAGCATAAATCTGGTTTCAGATCCTAATTTCTGTCAAATCATCAGATTTATGGGATTAGTCAGCATGTAAAATAAGTGTAACTCTAATCATCACCTTGTTGTGTGTGCATGTTGGAGAGCCCTCTTCAGCCCTGTTTTCATAGATAAAGTCTGCCTTTTATTGGTAACAGAAAATGTGATCAAGGAGCATAAGCTGACGTTGCCGTTTTCCTTATTCTGACTGTTTACCACTTTAGGCGTGGTTGGCCAGACCAGCTCTACCTCTTGGGTTGCATTCATAAAAAAAAACTGGCTGTCATTCAAAAGGGACAAATATTATCCACTAATGTTATTTGTTAATTTAGTGATAAGTAAATTAATGTACATTTTATTAGCATAGAAATGTAACTCTGTTCACCCAGGATTAGAGTTTGTATATAACTTCTTTGCCATTAGCTTTATTCAGTAATCTATAAAATTTTGTTTTTTTATTGGCTGTTTTGTTTAATGGGGAGTATCAATGATCCTCTCCCTATATCAGCTAAAATTATCCTTTAAGGTATTTTTTCTTATGGTTTTGTCTTCTTCCGTGTAAAACAAGCTGCTTCATATTTTTCTCTTCATCCTATTTTCTAGTTGTAGGGTTTGCAAAGTTATAATATCTAAATAGTCACTTTCAGTTTCTGGGTATCTATAAATAAAGGAAAAACAACTCACTTTCATTACACATGGAGTGAAATATTTCAAGCACTTTGTTCTTGTAATTTTAACTGATATGTCTTCCACATACCAAAAACCTGTCTCAGAATTTTGAATATTACATAAGATCAATAAAAAAAAATTGTATTCTAAATATAAATGTGTTGCTTCTACAAAGTATGTTTATTGCTTTATTCAGTACTTGGTTGGGTGCCTTTTACTAAAACGGGGCACTATGGAGTTTCCTAATAATACTACACTCTTCTGCTCGTTGTCGTAGCTCACCTCACGATTATACTCAACTTGTTTTGTTTTTTTTTGTATATTTTTTGTAATGTGGAGTTTCCATTGGTGTTTGAGTTGAGCTGGATGTCGGTTGCTTCTGACTCTCCTTAAAATCCTTCTTGAATATAACGCATTGATTGTTTGCTAGTTTAGACCCATTTAACGTATCTTTATTTGAGCTCACATTTGCCGAACAGCGCAGGAACTTCCAACCCAACGTAAATGAAGGAAATTAGGCTCCAGGCTTATAGAGGCATCTGTGTTGAACTTGTGAAGTGTCAGTTTGCTCATCAAATAATGTTTTAGTCATAAGGGTAAAATAAAAAGGCTATTTTAAGGATATTTTGTCTCCTTAACTTACTGGCTCAGTGTGGTGTGGCATGGAGGTGGCAGGCCTGTGGTTTGCTTTAATAGTGACCTTCACGTCATCTGCATAAATCCTTCATCATAGATCTGGTAAAATCAGTTTTCTAGCCAACCACTGATGTTCTGGTCCTTACCCCAGGGCCAAGTGCTACTGGGAAATGAGATCATCCTCTTTATATAGCCCACAGAAGAGTGAAACACAAAGGTCTGGTTGATGATTGTGTTGACTGAGAACTTCAGGAAACCCTGTGGTCTAACACCATCAGATGAAATGGCAGTAGTAACAGTGGAGACATAACACAGGACCTAAAGCAGCAGGGATTCTCTTCAATTTCTTGAGCTTGACGTCTAAATGTAATCCAGATTTTACTTTTTAAACTGATCAATGGACAGCCTGAAATTCTTCTTAGCCTAGGTATGTCATAAACTCTTAAATTGACTTTCCCTTAATCCACCAAAGCTTGTGGTTATCCCTATTGCTGGTGAACAATTTTTCCTACATACCTTTCCTTCTGCTCAACTTTCTTTGAATATGCTTGGATACGGCATCTTTTGGCAATCTACTGTCTTTAGCCCTAACTTTGTGTGGTGTTCCCTCCTTGTTAAGGTTGTAAAGGACTGTCTTCTGGACTTCTGTCCAGCTAGCGTCTTCCCAGTAGTTGTGTAATCTTTCGACTCAAAGTGAGAAACACAGGGAACCTGTACCGGGAAAAAAAAAGGCTTGAAATATTTCACTGTCTTAAATGGCTTTCTATATCAGTTTCATTTTCATTAATGAGAGACAAAAATAGTGAAATTTACATGATATTTACCCTTTTTTTAAGCTGTGCTTGTTTATGGATACTTGTGATTTCAATCTCTTTTTGACTCTTTCCAGGAATACATCTGTCCAAGATGTGATTCAGGTTTCATAGAGGAAGTAACAGATGACTCCAGGTATGAAATTTGTTTATTTAACATTTCATATTGATGTTAAAGTGATTGAACTTTAGATGGAAAAAATAGATTGTACCGTTGAAGTTGGTCCTCACGTTCCAGGATGGTGCTAAGAATTCACATTAATCTAAGCTTCAGGATATGTATCTAATGTGTCTTTTGTCCCCTTGTGCGCTGTTTCCCTCAGTCTCCTAGAGGGTGGCGCTAATGGGATAGATGACACAGCCACACAGTTTGCAGAGGTATGAATTTGTTCCAAGGCTTTCTGGGAGTAGTTGAAGGAATATAAACGATATAATATCAATGATGTTGCTTCAATTTCTTCTTCCCCTCTCACCCATTGACCTTTTTTTTTTTCCTTTAACACTTCTTTCTACGTATTACTACTCACACTAACTTCTGTTTTTTTGTCTTTAGCTATGGCATCTCTTGTTGCTGGAGCGACCGTTTACCACAGACAGAGACAGTCCCGACTCTGACCATCGGATCCGCGGAGAACGCCTGATGGGCTTTGGTGATCTGGGGGGGTTGGGAGGTGGATCGATTGGGGGATCTGTCCCGACAGGCCTAGGAGGATCCATGGGGGGCCTGCTAGGATCTGGGGACAACTGGGGACAAGGGCGTCCCCCTCGTTTAAACAGCCAGAGGAGATACAGGTCCAGAGGCAGCAGTCGGCCTGATCGCTCCCCAGCTGTGGAAGGGTAAGTTGTGTCTACAGCTCGGCTCAGTTGTCGTCCTCACTCCTCCATGCTTTCAGTGATAATGACAGTAAGTTGCTTCTAACCCTCGTTTCCAACAAACAGCAGCTGAGACATGTTTCAGCTTTACCACAGTCGCTGGAGTTGCTCACAGCTAGAGAGTGATTTGCTGCAACTTGTTGATGTTTGTGGTGCAGCCCAGCAGTTCATTCTGATGTATATACACTGACTTTTGACTAAATACAAGCTGATATTCACTGCAAAAAGCCAACATGCAGATTGTCAGTAGCATATTAGCTCTAATATAATTTGCTGCAAACTGCTAAAAATCAGTTGAAAAAGAGTGAAATACAGCACATGGCAAACTTTTAACAGGAGATTTTATTTTTGGAGTGTAGCCCCCCTCTTGTGTTCTAATATCCCATCTCATCTGCCAATTCAGGCCCTTCAACTAAAAACGCTCACAAGCAAAACTCTCCTCACATCTTTTTATTTTCAGTAAGCTGTTTGTAAACATTTTAAGCCTGAAATTAAGCTGCATGATATCAGAGACACCTGCAATAATGTTGGCAAAGTGTTGTAATAATGATAACAGTTGCAAATAAACATTTTAACAGTGATTTCTTTTTTTCTCAACATGACTTCATAACAAATGCTCCAGATTATGAGCAGTCTATCTAGATTCTAACTTTAAAATATAAATAATTATTTCTGTTTCAGCAAGATTTCAAATTAACTTAGCTTCCAGTCAAGTTTGTTGCTTCTGAATGATTTTAAAAACTATCACCGCTTTTTTTTACCTTCTAAAACATTTTCTGCTGCTGCATTACGCAAGTGCCAGCATTTATATTTCAGGCACCTAGAACCTGAACACATCGTACATAAATACCTAGCTTAGTGTCGTTCAAGCAGTCCTTGACAATATGCAGATTCCATGTTGATGATCATCATAAATATGCAGTATATTGTGTATTCCTGGCTAGAGTGATTCATCGGTGAGATAATTTCTCTAAGATGTTGAGTATCAAATTATAAAAAAGTGAAAAAGCAGCCAAAGTGCAAAAAAGAGAATGGACCACCTATGACAGGCCTTCTGTAAGCTTCTAACTTGAGTTTAGTTCTCTCTCTGACAGGATCGTACAGCAGTTTCTAGCTGGACTCTTTGCCAACTCTGGAGTTCCTGGCTCACCTCCTCTGTCATGGTAGGACCTCATCAGCCTTACAGAAGAAACATCATTTTTAAATTTCTTATCTCCAGCTGGGCCGTTCTGTCTCTTTCAGGACAGGGATGCTGCACTCTAACCCAGGAGATTATGCATGGGGGCAGGGAGGGTTAGATGCTGTCATAACACAGGTGAACTACATTTCTTACAACCCTTGTTTTTTTTTTTCCATCTTAATTTTACCATTGAATTTATCCGTGTGTGTGTAGTTACTAGGTCAACTAGAGAACACCGGCCCACCTCCAGCAGAGAAAGAGAAGATTTCTTCCCTCCCGACTGTCAGCATCACTCAGGAACAAGCGGGTCAGTCATATTTCCTGCCTTTCAGCTTAGTTTGTCACCAGGTTTGTCTTGACCTTAATAGTCACTACAGCTGTTTTGTTTGTCTAAATGTAATCTCTTTGTAATGGCAATGTTAACTTTTAATTCACAGTCCTTGTTTAGTGTTATTCACACATACAAGAGCATTCAATGCACTGACCTTAGTTATGATTAAAAAAAGGTATTTAAGTAGATGTTTGTTTGTATACATAATCCTTTGGGTTCAGAATGATTGTCTATAGGGAGGCTCCTACACAGGTTTAAAATTTGTATCTTATTGGTTCAGATGAATATTGTAATATGAAATTAAAGAATGGTGTTTCATATTTATTTTGTTTCTCCAGAGTTTTGTGCTGTTTTATGTAGAAATGACACATACTAACAATCGGATCAGTTCTTGTTTATGTCACCTCTAATGGGTGGTGGGGGGGTTTATTGTATCTAAAGTCTTATCAGAGAACAAGTAGGGCTGAAAAATGTATCACAATATCAGCCTTTCATCTCAGCCGATATCGGTGCATATTGGTGTTTTGTTTACCTATTTGAAATAAGAACCAGGGATAAAAGCCTGAATTTAAATTGTAACCCTTGTAAAGTGTAACCATTATAAAAGGTCAATCATACTATCTCAGTCCGTTAGCTTAGTTGGAGACGTCAAAATGCTAAATCTTTTCCTCTGCCTACATCCCTCAAAATACAATGTTGTTCTAGATTGAATTTCAGTAAAATTGACAAATGTATTTCTGCTGATATTATGTGTCAATCATGATATACATTAGTATTAATTTATGGCGTAGCCCTAAGTATAAATATTTGCCATAAATGCAAATCATATAATTGTATTGACCTTTTAAAATGTTCCAAATATGTAGAGAAATCTAGAAATCAGATCGCTTTAAAGCTTTAGTATTTTGATATAATAAATGTGTTTAAACCTTGTCACTATGGCTAAAAAGGTAAAATATCCATTAAACTGGAATAGATTAACACTTTCTCCCATAAGCCACTCACAGTGACAGATTTTGGTGACCTTATTCCAAACTTATCCTCTCTTAGGTTTGAGAATTGATAAGATATTCACTATTCCAATTCTCTTATCGATTCTGTGAAACGATTCGATTCTCTTATCGATTCTGTGAAACAATGAACTTGGTGAGTGCACAGTGACATTTGTCTACCCTCGCCTGGGACATTCTATTACTGCCTGCCTCTGCGAAAACAGAAGGCAGTGAATGGGAGCTGCCAGCCAGGCTACCCGTCTCGTCACAGTCGTCTAAGTTTAATGGAGAAGGCATCCGTTTAATGAAAAAGCATTACTGTACAATTTAGGTAAACAAACTTATCTCCCCCTGATTTAAATAAACAAGCTTCACCTTTCTCTGGCTTCCTGAACTGCGGAGCAACTTTGTAGCATGTTTAATAACCCCAACGAGAGATAGGAAATTGGTTTATTTCCAGAAATGGCATATGATTTACTAGGAACCACATTAAGCACAGCCACTGATATAAAACTAGCTTCCTTCCACCAGAGTTGCCTTCCATGCTGGTCGAAACTTTAGCTTCTGTCCTGAAGCATCAAAAACACAGCATTCGTTAAAATGTATGCCATGTCCTGTGTGCAGGTGTTTCTGCATGTTGGATGTATTTCCTCCTAGCGATGTAATTGCCACTTTGCAATGATTGCAAAACACCTTGTTGCCATCTTTCTCTTCCTTAAAATGAAGCCAATCTTTCGAACGCTTTGGCCGCTTTTGTTTTCTAGACTTATGCCTGGTTACGTCATACTTGCATAAAAAATGTGACGCAAGTCGTGCTGCCCAGCGCTAGGCTCTGGTGCTGCCTGAAATCGATAAGAGAATTGTTAAGCGAGCTGCTAAACGGTGCCATGGAATTGGAACACGGAACCGGTTCTGAACAGGAACCGGTTTTCCTTTCCCATCCCTATATACTCTTAGATGTTTTTTGAGAGTTTACCTTGCACTCATTAATACATACTTATGCTTGTGACTTAATATCATCTTACAGCTCCATTCTCAGCTCAAACTCTTAGTGTTAAGGGAATAAAACAGATAAGGTATATTTAAATAAAACACATGTGAGACTCTACTAATCATACATCTTTAAATCAACCTGTAAAAAGGGCTATTAATACCAAAATGAGAACACATATTCCTGTTCTCTCCTGCAGACTGCTGTATGGAATGCCCAGTGTGCAAAGAAGACTTTGCAGTGGGAGAACCAGTCAGACAGCTACCCTGTAACCACTTCTTTCACTCAGGCTGTATAGTACCATGGCTGGAAATGGTGAGTCACAATTCAGAACAACGGGCATATGATTCATTTGCTGTTTATAGGAGAGTATGCAGACGTAAAAGCGCATTTAAACTAGCCCTCCAGAATAAAGCAAGAAAGTATTTTCCAGGCATGCAAGATGAGTATCTAAAAACTCCAGTGACTGCTGCAGCCTTATCAGACACTGATAAGGCTGCAGCAGGCAGTGGCCCTCTGCATGTACAGCAACTTTAAAAAGTATGGATACCTCTTAAGCTTTTTAACATGTGATGGCCGCAGGCCTCATTAGGATTTTACCTATGAGAAGAAAAATATACCTGGCTTTAAGTTTTTACAAAATAAAATCTGAATTTTATGGCCTGCATTTATTTTCAGCCCCCTTTTTTTCCTGATACCCCTTACTAAAATTGAATATAAATTTGCAAGTTAAAAGAGGGCACAGGAAACACGTGGTAGTGGGGGATCTGATTAGAAGCACCCTAAACACAACATCTCACATGATGAAATCTGATGATGCAAGCTTAGAAGCTGGTCACTGTTGACTGAAAATTAATTAAGTTTATTTATATAGCACCAATTAACAACACATTTCATCTCAAAGTACTTCAAACACAATTCAATCAGACCATACAGACAGATTGGTAAAAAGTTTTCTACATAGGGAAACCCAGTTGAATGCATCAGTCATTACCTGAGCAGGATTCACTCCTGCTAGATGAGCAAGTTACGACAGTAGACATTTTCTTATATTCTGTCCTTGAGTCTTCAGCAGTCCCTCACACAAAGCATGCATGTAGCAACAGTAAAGAGAAGAAACTCCCATTTAACAGAAAGAAAACTCCAGAAGAACCAGGATTATTGTGAGCGGCCTTTTTCTTAATAGCTTCTGCTGGAGGTTCCTTTCTGTTAAAAAGGGAGTTCTGTTCTGCTAAAAAGGGAGCAGGCATACAAGAGGAGCATAGATCCATTAGAAACTTTCCATGTTAGAAAAGCTTATGCTAAACTAGCTCCAGAGGTGTCGCTCTCTAGGAAAAAACAGTTAGGTAGATGAGCTCTGAGCCGCCATAAAACTTGAGCCCACAGCAATGTCTAGAAGATAAACAGGACTAAGCACTGAAAAAATGGAACCCACGCTATCTTCTATAAATGATGTTATTGATGTTAGCAGCCCAGCTGATATTTCTCTCTAGGATGATGTATCTCAGCCAAACAGGACCAGACCAGATAAAGCTTCTGTAATTATAATGGAGTTAAATACAAGTAAATTAGTGAAGAAACTTTGTTAGAGGTAGCCAATGATTTAAACTAAATGAATTGGTTAATAGAAAATTAGTTAGAATGACCTGGTCAAAATATAATTATTGCTAGATTTAGATATTCAAAGCTGAGTGACTAAAGGTGGTTCCACAAAGTGTGGATTTTGTAAACGACTGCATACTTTTGGAGTTGTTTATCATTTTCAGTCTGATTTATAGAATAAGAGAATTATAATGTTTGCAATGTGTCAAACTCCTATGTTACTTCCTAAAATATATCTGTTATCAGTTGTTCTCTGATTGAGATCCAGGGCGATGAGATTTTTAATAGGATTTAGATTCATTCGAAACTTGTCTTTTTATTTTTGTTGCTGTTTTCATTGTTTGAGATTTGGGATCGAAAGCACATCACAAAAAGAAGCGTTTTGATTACCGTATTTTCACGACTATAAGGCGCACTTAAACGTCTTTTTTTTCCCTCAAAATGTGCGGTGCGCCCTATGGTGCGGTGCGCCTTATGTGTGTTGTAACTGCGACTTTTGAGACCACCTTATTGAGCAGATGATGAAAGAGTGGCTGAATGTAAGGAGACCAGGTGTTTTTTTTCCACCCCTCACCATCGCTGTTAATATGTAACTCCATGCGTGCCCATCTCACAGCTGATGTGAAAAACATGGGGAAACAAATTAACGCTGCTCGACATCGGTGTGAACCGGACCCAGCAGGTGCAGCAGAAGCAGCGAGTTTACATGCAAAGTCAATGGTTGACGCGCATATAGGTGCAGCAAAAGGTCCGGCAGCGCATTTTGGTGCAGCACGTCGGGAGCGTTTAAGCATCTGAAGCGCCGCGCTTCTGCTGCTCGAGATGGAAAAATTGAAGTTTTGCTGCTGGACGCGCCGCATCAACCAATCAGAGAAGCTGATCTGGGAGCTGCCAGCGAGACAGACAGCGCTCTGATGACATATGATATTAACGCAAATGGAAAAGGCTGGATGGATGCGTGGCTGAGGCAGGTGTATGTGAGAAGACTAGGTGGTTTTTTCCACGCATCACCATCGCTGCGTGCCCATCTCACAGCCGATGTGAAAAAAAGGTGAATCAAATGAACGCTGTGCTCGCCGTTATCCCGGGGGTCTGACAAAGGAGCTTCAACCGCTCGACATCGGTGTGAAGCAGCCGTTCGAAGTAAGGCTGCGAGCGGCCTGGGAGCGATGGATGACCGACGGAGACGACAGTTTCAGGATAAGAAGGCAGCACCGGGCAGATTACGCCACAGTTTGCGGATGGATTGTAGATGCTTGGACTAAAGTGTCTGCTGGCTCTGTTGTTCAAGCTTTCGCAAAAGCCGGCATTATTTCTGAGGAGCCGCGCTGCACGGAAAGTGACTGACAGCGAAGAAGGGGAAACTGGCATGTCTGATTTAGCGCAGCTGTTTTATTCAGAAACAGAGGATGATGACTTTGATGGGTTTGATTAATACTTTGTAATAAATACATGAATAAAGCACAATCATACTCAGTTTTGCTCCCGCTGTATTTTTCTCCCTGAAAACTTAATTCAACAGCAGCCTCTGGGCGCCTCTCCTCCTCTTCAGCGCGGTGGCTGGCAGGTGTTTTTTCATCTAAATCTAAATCTTGCAGCTATATTTGCTGTGATCAGTGGGAATAAAGTAGTTTTAATATGTTTTTAAGTGAGAAAGTCCACCTGAAAACTTCATAATTGCAGTCAGTTCATCCAGATTATCTATTTCTGTCGGAGGCGCTCAGACCCCCACATACCAGCGGTGCGCTGACAGCAGAAATCTCTTCATCAGCAGCCTGTAGGCTGGGCAGCCTCCGGGTTCACCGCGGCTGCTGGCAGGTGTTTTTCATCTAAATAATTTTAGCTGCAGGCACCAGGATACCGGCAATAAAAGCGAACATATTCCGTCAGCAGGTTTCAGGATTTTAAGTTAATTTAGGAGTGACCACAGCGCTGTGTCATCTGCGATGTCTCTGTCTCACGGCCAGCTGCCAGGTTTGATTAATACTTTGTAATAAATACATGAATAAAGCACAGTCATACTCAGTTTTGCCCCCGCTGTATTTTTAAATACGCAGTAGAGGTATTTAAAGGTAGTAGAGGACATGTACCTGTATATAAAAAACGCGCCCTATAGTCCGGTGCGCCTTATGTGTGTGTTAAATACAGAAATGGGACACATAACTGAGAGTGCGCCTTTTAGTCCGGTGCGCCTTATGGTCGTGAAAATATGGTACTTTCTATATCTGATTGTTTTTTTGTTTTTTTTTAGACCAACTGCAGTAAGCTGACATGTACCTATTTTTTTCCCATGATGCTGCAGCATGACACGTGTCCAGTGTGTCGGATGAGTTTGAACGGAGAAGACAGCAGCAGTCAGCCCTCATCAGAGTCCCCCTCGCTCTCTACGGACCCCCGCACACAGGAGAGATGGTCCTTTTGAGACACCCAGTTATCTCATTCTCTGCTTTCCGTCAACTACATCCAACAACAAAAAAAAACTTGCTACTCATTTTCCACATTTTCTCTCTGTTCCCTTCTGGATAATTTGAGTCTCTTTGTATATTTATTTTCTATTTTTAATGCCTTCTTCTTCAGTCATGTACCCTCTTTAAGACGTCTTAATTTGTTGTGGTTTGCTAAAGCTATTATTTGTCCGATAGACCAGCCTAGATTGACTCTACTTTTGCCCTGTATTATTTTTTTTTCTTCCCAAACAGCAAACTTTTCTTCCTATACATTGCTGCAACACTCCGCTGGGTAAAAAAAGAAGACAAACTTTTTCCGAGACGAGCAAAACGCAGCCACTATGCCCTGTAATGCTACTGCTCCATGCAGACCGCAAAAGTGCACAATTTTAGGATTCGTGAAATCTTGTAGATGTTCTAATAAAATTGTAATGAAGTGATATTTAGTTAGAAGACAAGTATGATATAGAAAAAAAAATACATGAGTTTGGCACATTTTTTGTGATGCTGGTTCCTTCAGCACCCCGGACAGCTCAGGGTCCAGCAGGAACAGCTTTATGTGCCCCCCCCTCACCACCATCTGAATTATGCAAAGGAAACACTAGCTGCTAAAAACACTGCTTTGAATAACTCCAGGGTGGTGGGTTTTAACGACGCTCACACCAGCCAGAAGACTGACGGAGGAGCTGATTGTCTGCTTCATGACTTGATGAATAGGAAAAAAAAATATAGGAAGACCTCGAGATTAATTACGTTAGAAGAAACTGTCTTTTTTTTTTTAAATTCATGAGTCCAGGACAAACATTTTAAAGAGCACAAAACAAATGCCATGACTTCCAAAATGATGGAGATTTGTGGAAAACTAATCGGTTACAAATTCAAGAACAGTTCTAGAAATTGAGCTATTTATGTTGATTTGTGTTGATTTGTGTGAGGTCTTTGCTGAAGCATAAGGGATATTCAACAACATGCCAGTTCTTTATTTTACAGGAAGATGTTTATCTTTTAAATCCAGCGGATGTGGAGTTAACAGGAATCCAATTAAAGGGTCATAAACCGGAGCTGTTATCTTCAGACAAAAGGAAGCATTTTTTTAAGCTGTCCTAAATTCTCTGTCTGAAACTTTGCATTAAGGAAATGAACATTTTCAGTGTTTGACCATCTGATGCTTTAGATGTCAAACTCTTCATGGTGTATATATTATATACAAATTACATCCCTCATTTTAGACCTCTGTTCATGACAGACTTGTTTTGATTTACATTTTTATCATTTATGTCGATGTAAATAATTCTAGTCCTACTTAAGGTTTGCAAAGAAAAAGACATTGAGAAAGGCGACACAAATGTGAAATAAATGGTTTATCAAAACTGTATATTATAAATATGATAAAATGTTTATGATGTATCAATAAATTGACAAAAAATGTTGCTTGTTAACAGTGCATTTAATAGTTGATGAAGATTTTGAAAAAATGCGCTTTATTTACAATAAAACTTGATCATTTTAATACTACAGAGAGGCTTTTACAAGCTCTGTTCATTAAAGAAAAAAATCAGTCCTTCAGTGGCGTCAAAGCTCCAGTGGTAATTCAGTTCAAGTTAATCTGATGAATAAATCATTTCCAGTTGTTATGGATTAGAATTGTTGAAAATATCACATAAACTTAACTGAAATAAGATTTTTAAATAATAAGGGGGAAGAAAACCATCTAAATGTAAAATCAGAAGCTGGTATTGGGTCTGCTTCCTTTCCAATCACCAGCAGATAAACCAAACGGGTGTGAAATGTAGGGACAGATGAAGGCTACATGCCAGTTGAGCTACTGTTATTGTTTCATACCCTCACATTTGCAGTGAAATAGTCTGCAAAATAAAATAGCATATCAGTGCAGAGGATCTTAATACTTCATTTTTTCCCCTTATACTCATCTGCTTTTCAGAGGTAGTAATACAACATTTTCAGGGGTTGGGAAGGCTTGTTCAGTAAGCGGCCAAGGACTTTCGTTGGTTTTAAGCATCAAAGGACAAAGCTCATTTAGACTGAAACCCAACTTTGGAGAGCTTAAAGTTATAGTGGAGGATTTTCACGAATATTTGAAAAGACCCGCCCTCTCCACTTGCACATGCACAACCCTGTACCCGCTCCCGAAAAGAAATGCTCATTAAACACGTGAAAGCGTGCACGAGACCATTTCCCCTTGTGCATGCGCTGTTTGAAAGATGCTGTTTGCATCGCTCATACAAGCTTATTTTCCATTAGAAGATTTGCAATTTTCCCACGTCGTCCTCACCACCGGTAAGTGAAAATGGGGAGGAGCACGTAGAACACCTTACGTAAACATATCACCACAATGATTGACAATAAGGATGCTTATTTTGATGATCCACCCGGGAAAAAGAACATCCTCCACTGTACCTTTAACAAACCTTAACCTATCAGATAAATGAGAACGGTGTCCGCTGTGGGTGTGAAGCTTTTAGCTAGACTGCACAGTTGTTTGTAGATCTGTAACGGACTGATAAGCCCACTTTTGAATTTGAAACTGATCATTTTAAACCCCAACTAATCGACCAACAGCAGGCATAGACTGTTGAAAGACTCCAAAGCAATTAAACAATCAAGGTCCCGGCCTATATTCGTATCCATGGGGGTTGCATATATGGGTTTCACTTCTGTGAGCAAAACCAGTTAAGCCTCAGGTGTGGAATGCATATAGGACCCTTAACGGACCCACATTTTACTCCTTTTCCATCTGTGTTGGCTGCTGTTTTTTTACTCCCTATGTGAAAATTGCTTGGGATGGTACAGGGATGGTCACTTGGTAAAAATAGAACATAAGGTATTAAATGTATCCACTTAAGAATATCGTTTCTGGCCAAAAAGGTAGACTTAAAGAGCTGCAAACTAATGAAAAGTATCAGTCTGGGTAATGAGAAGCTGGAAGTGTAATGTGATTTAGAAATGATTGTGAAACCAGTGATCAGAGAAATGTTGGGAGTGTAAATATTCTTAAATCTCAGTGCGTTTTCCAAGCAACGGTGAGCAGTGAGTGGCCTCGAGCAGTGCAGGGAATGTAACCCACAGCAGGATCCCAGACCTCAAACGAGATGGTAGAAGATGACCTGAACACAGAAACACAAAGCGGGATAAGTATTAACCTTAAAAACAGCAGCTAATAGATCTGGGTTCTTTATTAGTACCTGTTGAGAACAATCAGCACCACAGAGCCGTCTGGTCTGATGAAGGCGGAGAACTCCAGCTGAGTCTTCATGCTAGCAGCCACCCCCACCCTCTGTGATCCCTCCCACAGGAACGTACTGTACATAAAGATTTCATTGTACAAAAAAAAAAAAAAGTGAAAAACACATTTAATTTAAAGTAAACAAAAAACAAAAAAAAAATCTGATCACCTAAAGTGGGCCATGCTGTAGAAAGTTGGCTGCTTGTAAAAGACGTCCCGCTCAGCATCCACAATGACGGGGCTGTCTACAAAGTTCTTGACCCAGTTTGGTCCGCCAGTCGGGTTCAGCGCCAAGTTCCAGTCAGTCCAGCCAACAACATAGTGATTTAAGTCCTGAGGCAGAGAACCACTCCTCACTTTAGAAACAGAGACTAAGACTCCTGAGTAAGATGGTGGTTTCATTAAGTGGATCTATTAACTGAACATCTAGTGTCTCATCACTAAAATCTTTTGCAGTTTGAAGTTCTAAAGCTCAAACCGCAAAATATTTTACTGGGATTTTATATGATAAACCAACAGAATATTAGTTAAACCATAAAATGGAAGAAAAAAACATGCAGCAATTAAGATTCAACAAGAAAACACCTGAAATGGTTGATGGTGCTTTTACTCCTCTTTTAGCCAATTTTAAAGAAGCAACAGATTAAGAAAATATCAAAAGCTTTTGACATCTCCATGTTACTCTATCCATCATCCTGTTATATAAGACAATAGGAAAAACACAAAGTTAAAAACAGTGCAGGTAGAATGGCTGCTTGGAAGACTGCAGTAACAGGAAGAGATGCAAGAATCCACAGTTCTGTTGGGACAAATCAATACTTGTCTGTTTTGCAATTTTCAACTTCATGTAGAGAGGCAACAACAAAAAAAATAAAATAATAAATAAATATATATATATATTTATATATTATTAAGTATAGCCATAAGAAGTTCTCATATGCAGTTTACAAACATAGCATATATAGGGGACACGGCTAATCTACAGATAAGCTCCTTTTAGTGCTGGGTAATAGATAGACATTTAAAAATATAGCAAATATGGAACAAGATAGAAGATAATACCTTATATTGGAATGGTCAAGATTGCAATTTGATAGTACTTTTCTGAATACCTGTAGGTTATTAGGACATTTATCTTTTGTTTATCTAAATCCATTTGTTAGAAAATGTGCTTGTGCAACATTAGGGACAAAGCTTTGAATCAGAGGTGCATCTTTAGAATTATTTTATGAAAACATTGTGCATTGCCATACAATTTAGAGCGATTACTTTTTCGCTCATATCGCCCAGCCTCAAGCTAAATACAGGACAATTCCAGAAGAAAAGCTGCTGGAGGCTGCAGAGGGCTTGAGACTGGGGTGGTAATTCCTCTATCAGCGCCACAATGACTAACAGTCAGCCAGAGCTACAAAACTGGAGTTCAGAGATTTACTCCGTCTATTCTGACTGAGCTTCAGTCTCTTAAAGATGAATGGGTAAACATTTCCATTTTGCTCTCTGCAAAGCTGATGGAAACATGGCCAAAGGACTTAAAGGTGCAGATTAAGCTAACGCTACCACTGCAAAAATATCACTTGCACTTCACAATTATAATTTGTGTTAATCCATCATATAAGATCCCAGCAAAAAAAAAAAACGTGACATGACAACATAGTATAGCAGAGAGGCACAAAGAGTATCAAGTTCCTCTTGACCCAGGATGTCTTCTACCCAAATGAGAACAAAATGAATAGAATGGAAGTAGTCTAGTTCCCCCCTTTGAAAGTTAAGAAAGATGAAGACCAGTTCCAGCTTGCTCTGCAGCCCTGCAGGCAGTTCTTCTATAGTGTGCAGCAGAGTGTAACATTTAACCTGCACTGCAGCATGGGTGGCGGGGGAGAACTCGCCTCTCTGGGACGACTTGCAGCTTGTCAAATCTGACGTCTCTAACCGGGGATCTGACTGAACATGTACAAACCCTCATGCATGCAGGGAGATCAGCTCACCTCTATAATGTCATGAGCGTACTGTTCTGCCCTGTCCCAGCTTCCCAGCTTCACTCCTCGGTTCAGTGGTGTCCAGCCAGCGCAGGCCTCCGTGCCAAACAGATAGTACTCTGGGTAGAGTTGATTAGTGGCTCCCAGGCTAATCTCTGCAGGGACCAGACCGTCTGCGTACCAGTGCACTGCCACGCCATGAATGTATCGTGCTGCATGAACATCACTGAGAACCTGCAGGGGCCAAGAAAAATAAAAATGTACTTTAACTGGAGATTAATTGTGTGAAACTAATCTATATACATTAAACCAGCTTTCAGGTACTCTAATTTCTACTAAAATGTGACCTTGGGTGAAGGTTGAACCATATTAGTGCTCTGCACTCAGATGCAGGGCAATGGCAACCTTCCCGACTGAATCCAAAGCAATTACTCTATAAAGCAGGTTATTTTAAAAAAGAGCCTGAAAAACAGTGTTTGAAGGCCAATAAAAACTCAAAAGAATCTAAAAGTTATTCTTTGATGCAGAAAATTTAAATTCTTGATGTGTGCGTTTTCTTTAATCCTTTAATACATCCATCCCCATTTGATCACATTCCCAAAATAAAATACAGATTTAATGATAGCTCCCATGCAAAGCAGAGCTCCAATGTCAGAAAAAATAAACAGCTCTAAAAGATTTGACTATTTTCCATGTCTGGTAAAGTATGGAAAAGGAAATATGGAAAAGGAAATAAAAGTATTTCTTTTTCTCTAACACCATTTTATCCCTTGCTTGTCTCTGTCCATAAATCACCCATGTTTTTTGTCACTTTCTTGTTTTTGTCCTCTTTTCTTTGCTGTATCTTTCTCTATGACCATCTCCATCCTTACTTCCCCTTTTCCACCCATCCTCCCTCCCTTACTAGTATCCTTTCCCCTGACCTACCTCAGGTTATGGCTTTAATCCAATCTTTCATTCTTCTTTGTCTCCTTCCTTTCATTACCTTCTTCAGTGAAGTCTTTCCCTCATTTTTGTTTGAAACATTGGTCATATATTTATTATGCTCTTAAAGTTGAGGAACTGTACAGACAAGCTCATGAATGGTTCCACACATCCAAAAGTCAAAACTTTTATCAAGGATGAAAAAGATGAATTTAAACTCCTCTGCTTGAGGTGGAGCAGGGAAACCTGCAGGGTACAACCTAAAAATAAAAATCTACCTCACATGAAAATGTGAAGACAAGAAACAAATATCACATTTCTAATAGCTAGTGTTGTTGCTAAGTTATATCCATATGATGCAAAAGACTCGCATCTAATGTTGTAATTCTCCTCTGCAGGTCATTCTTGGCTCTAACTATTTTATCCTGAACAAAGGTCAAATGATGGCTCTGGAAGAGCTTAGACCCCTGTTAAAATTCAAGGAAGTGTTATGTGGGGAAAAAGGAGAAAGTTTTCAAATTTTTTTGCACCTAAGTGTCATTTATCCCACACAGCTGCACTTTTCTATACTTATAACAACGTTTTAAGCAAAAACTGCAGAAGACTCAGGTGGAGGCAATAACAATCGCCCGGATCAAAGACGACCTGACAAACAGACCACAGTTTGTTAGACTGAAGGGTCAGCTGTCTAATCAGGTAGTTAGCAGCTTCAGAGGATCACAGGAGATGGAACTCTCTCCATTCCTTTTTACTCTGTACAAGTCTGACGTCCAGTTCCAGAGAGACTACTGCCATCTGCAGTTATACTCAGATGAGTCTGCAATCATTGGATGCATCAGAAATGGACATGAAGCTGAGTACAGGGAGCTGGTGAACAGCTTTGTGGTATGGTGTGGAAACAATCATCTGATCCTGAATGTGAGCATGGGAGAAGAATGAAAAAGATGGAGGAAGAGTATAAATAACTTGGTGTTCACCTGGACAACAGACTTAGGAAACTTTGCCGTTTGCACTAAGATGCTACATACACTATATTGCCAAAAGTATTTGCTCACCTGCCTTGACTCACATATGAGCTTAAGTGACATCCCGTTCCTAATCCATAGGGTTCAATATGACGTCGGTCCACCCTTTGCAGCTAGAACAGCTTCAACTCTTCTGGGAAGGCTGTCCACAAGGTTTAGGAGTGTGTTTATGGGAATTTTTGACCATTCTTCCAGAAGCGCATTTGTGAGGTCGCACACTGATGTTGGACGAGAAGGCCTGGCTCTCAGTCTCCGCTCTAATTCATCCCAAAGGTGTTCTATCGGGTTGAGGTCAGGACTCTGTGCAGGCCAGTCAAGTTCATCCACACCAGACTCTGTCATCCATGTCTTTATGGACCTTGCTTTGTGCACTGGTGCACAGTCATGTTGGAAGAGGAAGGGGCCAGCTCCAAACTGTTCCCACAAAGTTGGGAGCATGGAATTGTCCAAAATGTCTTGGTATGCTGAAGCATTCAGAGTTCCTTTCACTGGAACTAAGGGGCCAAGCCCAGCTCCTGAAAAACAACCCCACACCATAATCCCCCCTCCACCAAACTTTACACTTGGCACAATGCAGTCAGACAAGTACCGTTCTCCTGGCAACCGCCAAACCCAGACCCGTCCATCAGATTGCCAGATGGAGAAGCGCGATTCGTCACTCCAGAGAACGCGTCTCCACTGCTCTAGAGTCCAGTGGCGGCGTGCTTTACACCACCGCATCCTACGCTTTGCATTGCACTTGGTGATGTATGGCTTGGATGCAGCTGCTCGACCATGGAAACCCATTCCATGAAGCTCTCTGCGCACTGTTCTTGAGCTAATCTGAAGGCCACATGAAGTTTGGAGGTCTGTAGTGATTGACTCTGCAGAAAGTTGGCGACCTCTTCGCACTATGCGCGTCAGCATCCGCTGACCCCGCTCCGTCAGTTTACGTGGCCTACCTCTTCGTGGCTGAGTTGCTGTCGTTCCCAAACACTTCCATTTTCTTATAATACAGCTGACAGTTGACTGTGGAATATTTAGGAGCGAGGAAATTTCACGACTGGATTTGTTGCACAGGTGGCATCCTATCACAGTTCCACGCTGGAATTCACTGAGCTCCTGAGAGCGACCCATTCTTTCACAAATGTTTGTAAAAACAGTCTGCATGCCTAGGTGGTTGAATTTATACACCTGTGGCCATGGAAGTGATTGGAACACCTGATTCCAATAATTTGGATGGGTGAGCAAATACTTTTGGCAATATAGTGTATCTTCTATAAGTCTGCTGTGGATAGCGTATTCCCATTCTGTTAGGTCCAGATCTCAGATGTATCTACCAGAGCAAATATCTATGGCCAGTCTATTAGCCCATATTTAAGATTTAGAATAAAATCTACTTAGTTTGCAATTACTTTGTATTGAAGTCCCACTGAAGTGCATTTTTTAGCTGAACTCGTCTCAGATCAATTGTGGAACATGTCTTGAACTGATTTACATAAACAAAGGATGGAGTGGATTTCAGACCTTCTAAGTATCCTTTCTCAGATTTCAAAGGCCAATTAAATATCAGAGAAAACCACAAATATTTGATATATGTCCATCAGAGCTCAGGTAGACCAGTATATGTCATTTTAATAAAGCTTCTTCACTCAACACAAATATAAACACTTTTGGTTTTGCTCCCATTTCTTATGAGATGAAGTCAAAGATCTAAAACATTTTCCAAATACACAATATCACCATTTCCATCAAATATTGTTCTCAAACCGGTCTAAAACTGTGACAGTGAGCACTTCTCCTTTGCTGAGATAATCCATCCCACCTCACAGGTGTGCCATATTAGACACCATGATTAACAGCTGTGCCTTAGGCTGCTCACAATGAAAGACCACAGAAAGGTACAGTTATGCTCTATTTTTGGTGGGGATCAGTATCAAGTCAGTATCTGGTGTGACCACTATTTGCCTGATGCAGTACAACACATCTCCCTCACACAGAGTTGATCAGGTTCTCAGTTGTGGCCTGTAGAATGTTGGTCCACTCCTCAATGGTTGGCGAAGTTGCTGGATATTGGCAGGAACTGATTAACGCTGTCATATATGCCGAACCAGAGCATCCCAAACATGCTTAATGGGTGACATGTCTGCTGAGTATGCAGGCCAGGCAAGAACTGGGCTTCCAAGAACTGAGTACAGCTCCTTGCAACATGTGACCATGCATTATCCAGCTGCAACATGAGCTGATGATCTTGGATGTATGGCACAACAATGGGCCTCAGGATCTCAGTGTAAACCAGGATTCATCCGTGTAAAGAAAACACCTCCAACGTGCCAGACACCAGTGAATGTGAACATTTTCCCGCTCAAATTGGTTACGACGACAACCCAGAGTCAGGTGGAGACCCCGATGACGGGGACAAGCAATCAGATGAGCTTCCCTGTGAGGGTTTCTGACAATTTGTGCAGAAATTCTTTGGTTTGTAAACTGTTTCGGCGGCTGTTGGAGTGGCTGGTCTGAACAGGCCCTGGGCTGGTGTGGTTACACGTAGTCTGCGGTTGTGAGGCTGATTGGATGTACTGCCAAATTCTCTGAAAAGCCTTTGGAGACGGCTTATGGTAAAGAAATTAACATTCAATACACGAGCAACAGCTCAGGTTGACATTCCTGCTGTCAGCATGCCAATTCCACGCTCCTTCAAACCTTGAGGCATCTGCGGCATTGTGCTGTGTGATAAAACCACCTTTCAGATTGGCCTTTTATTGTGGGCAGTCTAAAGCACACCTGTGCACAAATCATGGTGTCTAACGAGCACCTTGAAATGGCACACCTGTGAGATGGGATGGATTCTTTCAGCAAAGTGCTCACTATCACAGATTTAGACTAGATATTTGAGGGAAATGGTTTTATAATGTATAAGAGGAAAAGTTTTAGATATTTGAGTTTGTCTCATAAAATATGGGAGTAAAACCAAAAGTGTTGTATATATATTAGTGTTGAGTGTATTTCACTGCAGCCACATGAGCAGCTGAACTTCCAATTCTTAATCAGATTCCTCTTGGAACAGTATTCTAATTTTTTTCCCTTTATGAATGTTTGATCCACTGATTGTTTCATAAAACACTGCAGTTTGTGATTTCTGATCCCATCTGCATCCATGTAGGTTAAATTAAGTTAGTAAAGGACTTTCCCTACCGCTTCATCTGTCTGTCCTTGGACTCACCACTTTAGCCCAGTGGGGCAGCAGCAGGCGGTTGTCATCCAGTATCAGGATGTGTGTATGTTGGTGTGATGAGGACTGCAGTGCCGGGCCCAAGTCCAGAGCCACCCAGTCCCTCTGCTCCTCAGGAGTAAAGCCAAGAGCCTGGAAGCTGTAACCACAAATAGACTCTAATGTGACTTTCTGCATTTTAAATCCTAAAGGATGCTGCACAGTGTTACAAATTAAATCAAAGACCTGTAGTTTGCCATTTGTCCTGCAGAGGGCTCATTTCCTGTAGTCAGTGCCCAGAAGGTTAGGTTATACTTGGCATATTCCTCAAGGAACCTGTGAGGGAGAGTTAAAGCACATCAGAGTATATCTCTATAGTATCAGGCATGTCTGATGTGTGACAATTCAAAGTAAATGAACCACAAATGACCTGACATAGTACTGAGCCCATGTTTTATGCTCCTTGCCTCCCGGCTGGCCCTTCAGGGAACCCTTTCCTATTAGTTCACCATTAGTTTTCATCCAGGCGGGGGCGCTCCAAGCACTGCCCAGCAGGGAAAGGGGGCGAGGAGACAAGGCCTGGGCACGCAGCAGCAGAGGGATCTAAAAACAAAGAGGAGGATGGAGATGAAGACACAAAAGAGATGAACATGTTTCTGTGCCATTATAAAGACGGAGACCTTCATGTTCACGTCCTCAGGGGCTAAAGCAAAGTTTTTCAGTTCATAGTCCGAAGGTGAGTCAGCGTATGTGTACAGACGAGTGGAGAAGTCACAGCTGGCCATGGGGACACGCACAACGCTATAGCCGATACCTGGTACAAGGCAGAGAAACAAACTGTTCAGGCTCTTCAGTGGTTTATAACCAGCTTGGCATTTTGATATTGCTGATGGATTTATAATGTCAATTTGCTTCTTTTGTTGAGTAATTTCAGTTTGTTGTGTCACATTCCATGCACTGTAGCCGTTTGCAAAAGGATCTCAACATGGAGCTGGTTATATTCTGAATGGGTCAATCACAGAAGGAGCCTCCCTTCTTATCTTACCTACATACATAAACATATATACATACATACATATACATACCTACATACATAGTATGTATGAATAGTATGTATGTATGTTTGTATTATATACATACATACATACATATGTATATATGTATATGTGTGACACATATACATACATGCATATATACACATGCATACATACACATATATACATACATGCGTACATGCACATATGTACATACATGCATACATGCACATATATACATACATGCATACATACACATATATACATAGATGCATACATGCACATATATACATAGATGCATACATGCACATATATACATAGATGCATACATGCACATATATACATACATGCATACGTACACATATATACACACACATATATACACACATATCCATACATATCCATACACACACACATATATATATATATATATATATATATATATATATATATATATATATATATATATATATATATATATATATATACACACATACCGGATCCAACAAAAGGAGTCTGTTATTTACCAGTGTTATTACACAGGGTTATTTCACAGGGTATTAAATGGGTATTTATATAAATGGGTATTTTTGTATAAATTGTTATTCCACTGAGTATTAAATATAAAACAGGTTATTGCACAGGGTATGAAATAGTGATTGCACATTAGTTATTGCACAAGTTATTGGAGCTTATCCAGCTTATGAAAGCAAATCTCTAGATAACTACATCAACTAATCATGTAGATCTTAAAAGTAAATTACGACATTATAATTTTATCCTGGTTTTAATAAAGTAAAGTTACAGTGAGCTTATAATGTTAACTGGTCAAAAGTTTTCTTTCTTAGGAAGTTCAGTCCACTTCTGAGCAAACAAATGGCGACTGTGGACAGGAATAACTCCATTTATGAGCCAATTTATACTTTCTTACCCATTTTTTATTAAAATCATGATCTCTGCCAAATAAGTAGCAGAAAGAAATGTAATTAATGTGTCATCTTTATTATGCTGAAAATAGTTTAACAACTTCTCTAAAAGGGTAAAAAGACATGGTGTTAATTTATAACATAAAGTGGTATAAATAAGTCTCTTTAATCTTTACCTTCTTTAGAGAAGTACTGACGCAGTAGCTGGTCTTGTGCACCAGCAGAAAGAGAAAGTATATTGATGGCTGCTGCATCGGTCATGGCTCCTCCGAATCCCCTAATCTTCTGATACTTCTGGTAGGGAACAATCGTCAGCCTGAGACCTGGAAGGAGGAAACTGTTTAGGAGAGAGCAGAGGTGTTCTATCATTGCAATCCTCATCCTCTTACCTGCTCCACTGCTGTTGACCTGGACCTGACCCTGGCCTGCCTCCATCCTGCTGCCCGCTCTGCTGCTCAGGTAGGTGGAGTACTGACCCAGAGGTGGAACCATGACTGGACCAACACTGTCACAGTAAGTGGAATTACATTCACACACCACAGAGTCATGGCCAAAGTTTCTGGCAACACATCCAGTGGTTCCTATGAGAGGGAGGGGCCATTATCAGTGCACAACACAGAAGGAGGAAATGTTTCTGTTTCAGGTTACCTGTGCAAAAGACCACATCAGCTGCGCTGAGAAAAAGAGCTAAAACAAGCGATGGCGGCAACATCATTTCACCCGCAGACAAATAAAGGTGTAAGGACTTGAGAATTCAACAACTGAACCTGTTAACTCAGCTGGATCAGAGACATCTGTCCACCAGAGCTGTTAAAAACGATCCAACCACCTTTAGAGGAAGCAGACAGAAGCTACGAGATGTCCTGAAGCTAAAGCGCTGCTACAATTACTCCTTCGTCACTGTATCGGTGTCCCACAAGCCATGGCAGAACTTCCTGATCATTTTCTGATCACTTTTAGGAGCCAGTCACGTGTGTTTTGGAACAATCACGTGACCAACTGTGCACTAACCAGTATATGCCACCAGAGGGCGCTACACTGTAAAGACAGGTTCAGGTTTGTTAGAAAAGAAATATCCAAATGTTATTTTCATATGATCGTGTAACAGATAATTTTAAGATATTTGTACACATTTTTAACCAACCATAAACCATGTATTTTGGAATAGGAGAAAAACATACTGAAAAGTTGCTATATTGATGAGTACTAAAATGAAATAAGATAAAGATATTTGAACTAAGATAATTAAAACAATAAAAACAAAAACCCCTGTTGTATGTTGGCAAAAGAGGAGAATTTCATTAAATTCGTCTTCTTTTCTTTCATATTTGCAAAGACTAAGTTAAAATAGAACTGGGGAAGGATGTGATTTAAATTTTATTCTTCAAAGATGGTTCTGCTGGAGGTTTCTTCCTGTTAAAGGGAGTTTTTCCTCTCCACTGTCGCTGCAAGCATGCCAAGTGTGAAGGATTGCATTCAAGTCAATGAGTCGATGCAATCAACTGGTTTTCCTTAGATTGAAAACTTTGAATCAATTTGACTGTATGATCTGGTGAACTGTAAAGTGCCTTGAGATGACACGTGTTGTGGATTGGCGCTATAGAAATAAACTGAATTGAAAAATCCAGCTGGGCTGGCAATATGGCAAACCATAAACAATTTTTCTAAATGTGCTAAAAAAAATAAATAAATGTACCTTTGAAATGGCAAAACTCAGTAATGTTATCCACACACAATATATATATATAAATATATATATATATATTTGAAAATAAATTAATAAAATATTTGAAAAATAAAAACATTGGTACCTAGGTCCAGTATCCAGCATATAAAGCCCTGTAAGCCTCATGTCATTGTTCACCAATCAGCAATAGTTGCATTTACATAAGTTTTTAAGGCATAAACATGGAAGACGATAAAGACATGTCTCGTTTTCCAAAAATATTCTAGATGATCTTGAGGACTTTTGGAAAATATCACGTTGACAGGTTAGAATTTTTCAGGTCTGCACGCCACTGTAAAATAGACAATTTCAGAAAAAGAATACATCTACAGTTATAGCAACACAATGATGGCAGTGTTATGGTTTGGGATTTCCTTCCTGCTGCAGGACCCTTAACCGTTTGCCTTTATTAATTGAAACAAGAATCCTACTCTCTAGCAGATCATCCTGAACACTTAATACCATCGTTAAAAAGAAAAACAGTTTTTAACAGTGTTTTATTAACAAAGCAACAGAGTAATATAATTTATAGCATGATTCACATTACACACATGGATATTTGCTTGTATATTTCTATACTGTTGCAATAAAGGTTCTGTGACTTCACAAAAAGCCACAAAGTCTTTCCAACACAGATGGATTCCTGTTACTCAAGAATATGAGTTCCTTCTTCCCTTCTTCTGTTCGACCTGAAGGGAAAGCAAACATGGTGAGAACGCCTTTTGTTACGAGTCATCTTTCATCACATAACAGCCAGGCCAACAAACACTCACTGAGTGGATGCTGCAGCCAGTTGCGATCCATGTAGTAAAGGTAACAGCTCTCGAACTCTTTCTCGCTGTAGTTGGGCACCGATACAGGGACGAACGGATCCATGCTGTCAAAGCCCCTCTTTAAGGACGACACAGAAGAGATTACAGAAAAGAAACATAAAATCTATCACCTACAGGGGTGCAAGACATTCAAATTAATTTTCTATCTTTTATTTTATATTCTATATTTCCTTTCCCTTTGGGTTTAATAAAGTACTTTTGAATCCCATCAACTATTATGCCCAGATGAGCACAAAGATCAGAGTCAGTGTTCTTTTTTTTTTTTATGTAAAAATTATATCCGGAAACCATGACGATTGCTTCAGGCACTTCGGGAGATCAGAGGGATGAAACTAATCAGAAATGTTTTCAAATCTGCATAAAAAATAAATAAAAAAAACCCACTAAGTCAACATATTTCAGGATAAATAGTAATTAATACAATAGAAATGTTTTCCATCAGATAGGTTATATGACCCTGTTGTAAAACTTATAGTTTAATGCCCCTCAGCATAGATCAGCCCAAAGATGAACTGATTTACTGGTATACAGCCCTATAAGAAATATGCTTACAATTGGTCACAAATGACTAAATTAAGTCAAATTGTAAAGAGCTGAAGCATTAAAAGGAATAATGTGGCACATTATATGCTTACACCCCCTTTGTACTGCAAAACACTTCCTTAATATCCTACAAGAAAATAAGAACAACCAGTTAACAGTCGGTTGAATCATTACTTTCCTGCCAAACAGTCCAACTCAAATACTCCAAAACCACAATATTAGGAGAGGAATGTTATAAGGGATAGATTTCTGCTTCAGGTCTTATTGAAAAGTGACAGCCTTCTACATCCAATTTTAAATAAATATCTTTACAACCACAAAAAAACTTAAGTGTATTTAAGAGAGGGTTTACATAAGTGCTCACAAAGTAGTAGGAAAAAAATATATAATACATGATGTTGGAAATATTTACTAATGCTACACCGAAAAATGTGGAACAGATTAATTTCTGGCAGCTTCAGTAAACCAGACATGAGAAATGCAAGTTTAAGCAGAATACATCTGTTCTGTGAGGGTTTAGGTGGTGGTGAGGTTTGCAGTCGCAGCAGATTCAGCGTCATGTCTGCTAGGAAGTGTGGTCGTCATGGTCGTGGGCGCAGCGTGGATCCATCACACCCACCTTCTCGCTCAAACTATGTTGGAAGTCTGGAGGAGAAATGACGGTTCCTCCTGTGAACCCCCTTTTATACCAAAACTCTGCCAAAAGGCCATTATACAGTAGCTGTAATTTGAAACTCGTTCAGCGGCCGTCTGGAACATGTTAAATACGTCGATAAGTGTTAGAGATAAGTTCTGGATAAGCTACGCATAAGTTATGCACAAGTTACTATACACTGTATAGGTTTTGGATAAGCTAGACACCAAGACTTATGAGTAACTTACTCTTAACTTATGTCAACGATCAGATAACTTACCTGTAACTTATAGCCCACATATGGCCTATGCTGGCACATGTCAGGAAATTTCTAGAATGCTCAAAATTTCTCCAACAGTACAACACATCTGCTAGCCTACAAAGACAATGGCATCCACCTAAAGCAGTCGTCTGAAACGTAAATCTTCAAAGGTTTCCTGCAACCTTATCATGAGTCCCTTGTTCTTTACAGATGAGTACAATGGCTAACCTGTCTGACTAGCATACAGATAAGCTCTACAGTGATGTGCTGATGGGATAATATCCAGGCATGTTGAAACAGAGATGCATCAAAACTGATCGAGAGTGACAAGCTTAGCTCCTTCAGAATGTGGAGTCACAAGTAATACAATAAATAGGGCCTCAGATGAGGTTTTGTATGCAAAGCGCACCCTACACACAACTTTGAACACCCTGAAGCATGGTAGTGGCAGCATTATGCCAGTTTATGGTCTGCTTATATTAGAATATATTTCAAGGCTTAATTATGGGTAATCCTAAAAAATAAACCTGTTTTTTTAGCAGGGGGTAAAGACTAAGGCAGAGGTTCAATTAACAGATTAAATGGCTTGGATCAAAGCATACGTGTATTAAAAAGGCCCTGTCAAAGTCCAGAGCCAAATCCAACCTCGAATATATCAAGGCTTAAAAGTTCATAGGCACTCCATCCATGAGCTCTTCAGTAAAGAACGATTTTAGATGCTATAAGGTGGATAGACTACTAGCAATAAAAGATTGACTGAAAGCGGATGGATACAGATGCATTCCACATCATTCAGATTTTTGCTTATAAAGAGCTTTTGAAAATCCTATATCCTATTCATTATACTTCAGTTGTGCACCACTTTGGTATAAAGGATAAAAACTCAATGAAATACCTTTAAGATTGCAGCTACATAGTTCAATCTGGACACACTCTGAGGTTACAATAAATACTGTAAGGCATTGTATCTGAAATTAATCCAAGACTCCGTATAAAACCTCTGAAGGAATTCAAGACTTTAAAAAAAAAAGGCAAATTGATTATTACGTTCATGACACTTTCTATTTTTTTAAAACCCCATAAAAAGGAGATTTGTCACTTTCTTATTTTCTATGTACCCAGAGCTGCAGAAATGTTTAAGTTCCAGCCCCCTGAGGGCGGGTCGATTGGATTTTAAGCTGAAACAGAATTTTCTCTCACCTCTCCAAGCAGCTCTTGAGGCAAGTAGGCAGATTTTGGAGCATAGAGAGAGCCCGTCTGAGACAGAGTGGTAATGATGGCGCCTCCGCTCTGAGACAAGACAATAAAGGTCAGAGGTTTTCTTAAAAACAGCCCTTTGATGGTCATACTCTTGTATTCCTCTCACCCAGTCATTCCTCATCAGCTTTCTTAGATTATAAACTAAAGTCAGCTCCTCCGGATCCACCTGAGGACAATTAGAAAGGAATATATGACTTCCTGTTTGTGGAAAAACAAACCAAAAGAAATGATTGAGCATAGCAGATGGGTTTCCATTACAGCTGTCTTGTCCTCCTTCTTGATGGTGGATCTTCCCCACAGGGCATTCACACCGTCCACCGCCACCACCAGATGGAAGCCAGCTCCCTGTTGGCCGCTTTGGAGCCTGAGTTCCTTCATCACTGCCCCCACCACATCACTGCTGCTCTTCACTCGAGAAATGCCCTGCAGCAAAGGAGGTAGGACCTGATGACAGTCATATAAACGGGAGGCAAACTGCAATACTGTAAAAGTAGAAAAAAATACATATAAATATATATCAAACTATATTACAGTAAAAAGGAGAAGGATTTCATCCAGAATGCATTTCATTTCAAGTCTAAACCTTTCATCAGATAAAAAAAAGACAAAATACTCAGGAAGTAATAGATAGAAGAGTGGAAAAATAAATCAAATAATGCAGACACAGATGCTTATCAGCATTTCCTCCAGTCATGTTAGCATACGGCACAGCGGACTCCAGAAACAGCAAC